CAACTCAGAGAGCTGAAATTTGGTACAGAGTTAGGGTTCAATGGCCACATAAAGGGAAAACTATAAAAACTAGGAAAATCGAAGATCTGGAGTAACACCACATTCATAATCAATACTACTCCGGCACCGTGGTGTTCGCCTGTATCGCTCACCGCTAGATGGCGCTAGCGGCGTCCAAGCGGTGTCCAGATTTTTTCCTTTCTAGAGCCCCCCGTCGATTAAGTTGATGTTGTGTAAATTTGCAGTTCGTTGATTTCGTTTATTATATTGTAAGGTTCGCTAAGGTTATGTTATTAAAACAATTCTGATTCGTTGTCCATTTTAAAGGTCGTTGAGTTTATTTGTGTTTAATATCGTAAAAAAATATCGATAAAACGACGACGTTAAATAATTTTGCCACTTTCTACAAAAAGAAGTGAAATCCCACTAAAAACATTCTGTAAAAAACTAGCCAAGTCTCGATGGAGCTGCTTGTTTATCTCTAAAAAGTAATGAAATCTAGACAAAGTCGTGCCAAGTCTATGGTTCCTTACTGCGATTTCTTTATTATTATAGTTAATGTTGTGTGACTTGGCCGTTGAACAATCTTTATTAAGATAATCATACATAAGTATTATTGAAATACGCAGCTTTATTAAACCTACAATTGAATGGTTATTGTTGAATCAACGTTTTCCAAGTGGCAATTTTCCATCGTCAATGGGTAGCGGTTCTGGCGACAGATTGGTGCAATGGTATCATGGAGCACCTGGTTTTGTACCCTTCAACGGCCAAGTCACACAACATTAATTATAATAATAAAGAAATCGCAGTAAGGAACCATAGACTTGGCACGACTTTGTCTAGATTTCATTACTTTTTAGAGATAAACAAGCAGCTCCATCGAGACTTGGCTAGTTTTTTACAGAATGTTTTTAGTGGGATAATATTTTTTGGACAATATTATTATCAAAAGCAAGAATGCATCGATAGGTTAGGTACTGTATTTTGAACCAAAGTGTGAAACGAAACTCTACTATTTTGTAATTTTAAAATAAACAAAAGGTATGCCAAGTTGCAAACACTTCTGTGCAAATACATATTATGTACCTATAGGTAGTAGGTACCTACATTGCAATGTGCATGCAATAAATAGGGTTCACTGTAAAAGGTCCTATGTAGAAATCGTTGGTTCAGATTATAGGTAAGGAAGCTAGTGAAAAGTCTGAAGCTGAATTTAAATATTTCACTAGATTGTGTTAAACAAACTGGAATCAGAGCGTTAAGAAAAAAAGAGAGTTGCAGAGTCTATCTTTGAATGGCTCTAAGGAGAGCTTAATTATGAAGTTAAAATGTAAGTAGTCAGAACTCGACTTACTCGTAGACTTTCCATAGCAATGGAAACTAATAATCACTATTTTAGATACATTTATTGTGTCATGCAACTTCAAAAATACTGCACGCAGTCAGCAGTCACAAAATACAAAATGATATTTACGATGGCTCTAAAAACGTCGAATCTGAATAACGATAAGTATAAAAACTGCAAGCGGTCGTTTAGATTTTTGTTTGGTCACTGATGACCAAAGCAAAACATTGTCTCGTAAATAACACCGCGGACGCTCGTATTTGTTTGACGCAGGCAATAAAAGTTTACAGTGATGCATGCCAGTTGCGTTTGTATTACAGGTTTGCATGTCAAAGGACTTGACTATCGAATTTCAGCGATACCAACCTACGAGGTGCTGGGATTCGTAATTGGAAAAATTGGGAAAAACATTAGTTACTTATGTTAGGCTCGGTTGCACCATCTTACTAACAACTTTGACAAACGTGAATATTCTGTCAAACTTCATACTAAAAGTACTTACCGGTTAATGTTATAGTTATGGTTAAAATTAGGTGGTGCAACTCAGCCTTACTAACTTGGTTGGTTATGATGATGTATGAAAATACATTTTATTTGCTCTTATTTTATGTCATGTTGTATTTTAATATTCGTGAAGTATACAGCTGTTCGTACCTATGTTAGAGATAGAGAGAGTCTAGAAATGTATGTCAAACAAATCTCTCTCTTTCTTCTCTATTTTAACACTCTGTATTACGAAGCAATTGTTATTGAATAATTATTATAGAAACTTAATTGCGTTATATCAGAGCCCTATAATTACGTTACGGTCAACGGGCGTCACGTAGGGCTGAAAGGTGTTAACTTGGGCGGAATAATAAAACTCGAAGACGTTTTAATTAAACATGATTCCGATCACCAATAAAAGTTGAGTAAGCTAATAAACTTAGTAGTTAGTTTGTAATAAACGAAAATGTTATTTTATACTTACGAGTACTTTGTTTCAAATTCTTTATAATAAACAAGATTGAAGAACTTTTGAAGCAAAAAATAAATGTAGAGCTACTTTTTTGATACACCTGCTATTCCTGCGTGGTTGTAATAAATTAACTCAAATAAATATTTAATGCATAATTTACTGAAAGCTTTAAGGCTGTAAAGGCAAAAGGAACTTATCTCTCGTTTTTTATCAGAAAAGGATTCCCGGTTACTTTCTAAATTAGTCGAAAATTAATCATAGCATTATTTTTTACGACTACAAAAACTCATACACTTCTTCCTTATCTACCGTTTAGGCAAGACAAGTCCTTTATTATCTTCTTGCTTACGTAATCAAATGAGTCTTTCTTAAAATTTTGTTTTGTATTGCATTGACAAGTTAGTAAGTCAACACCAAAGGTCAGGAAAAGAGACTCTATGAATGATTATTAGAATTTTGTATTTTTTTTTAATAATTTTTATACTTAATGACGTTATTTCACTGAAGTGACAAGCAAATAAATAAGTTTTGGTGTATTACGTTCCTAATAATCGAAAAATAGAATGTAAAGACGAACAGACTGAACTGACTTTAAGATTTATATAAGTAATTAGTTGATCCTGAAAAACGTAGCAAAATGAAAAATTTTAATTATTAAGAATTAAGCCCAATAAATATTTATGTTATTTTCTATGGTGATCTAGAGCTAGACGCTTTCCCATTATTGACATACGTAATTGAAAAAATAAAGATTCTCTTTCTTTTCTTAAGCTTAAGACTCCGCTAAGTTTGTAAACGCTATCGAAGCGTAGAGGCATAAATCTGAAAACAAATTAACTCTAAGTTTCACCCGATGGGAAAAGAAAACCGCAAATTTCTTCCGCATTCTAACTTTATAGTCAAATTAGTTTTATTTTCTTAAATATACACGATTTGTAATATTCTAGGTACATGAAGCATTATCGAAAATACGAAAACAACATATTTTATGTTAAATGGTAGAGCGATGATGTAGGTACCTACTCGTATGAAAATTAAGTTTTATAAGATTTCATGATATCTTACGATGAAAGCTGAAATGCTATTGTTCGAGAGAGGTAAATATGCCAAAGAAATCATGTCTATTTATATCACTTTCAGGAATGAAAGAAAATGAACGGATACTAAAGTTTGCACGCTGCAAAGTAGGTACGAACTTAATGCACATCGGAGGATAAAGTACCTCACACAAGTAAAACTAGATGTCGCTAGAGGTTCTGAAAGTGAAAAACTCTATTAATTTCAGGAAAATAATGCTATGGACGTAATAATTTGTTGACATGTAACGTTACTAAGACGAGTGAATTATTTTCAGTTATAAGCATTTCAATACGGACTTTAAACAGTGTGACAAATTAAAATTTTGTTCACAAATGTGCGCGCGCAGGACTCTACATCTTTGCAGCGCTGTAGCGCTTTAACGTTTTTAGGAGTTTTAGAGACATTTACTTCTGCTGATGTTTCCAGATGTTAACCTATTACTAAATTTCGTTAGCGATGTTTTACTTGTACTATAATGTTACAATATTAACTTATCATTAGGGCGTAACTCTTTGACTTATCATTGAAAAATATAAGAAATTCACTATGTAGAGTCATTGCCCCACAGACCACTGTGCTTGTACAATTACCTTTTATTATTCACTACTGACTTTTTTGTAAAAAGTCCTGAATTGAAAATATAATTTTTAACTCTGTTAAATGAATTTGATGAATCAATTAAGTTTTTATTTATAAGATTCTTGTATTTTTTTATATTTGGAGCCCTACATTTTATAATTTGCTTTAGTTTAATGTTTAGAGCAACTGAATAGAAAATATTTTTTTTAACTCTGTTATATGAATTTGATGAATCGAGTAAGTTAACCTATAAGATTCGTGTATATTTTTATACTTGGAGCTCTACATTTTATAAATGGTCGCTTTAGTTTAATGTGTTATACTTCCAAGGGGAATAAAATTTCAGTAAGTATTATTATCAATATTTTAAACACATATTGTCATGTAAATCAAAATCGAAGTTGTACGGTACATGATTTGTGAGGATTATAAAATACCCTGTCGCAGTACATAGACAATGCCGGAAATTGGCGTCTTTTTTTTTCGCGCGGCCATCGACCAAACCTTGTTTTTTTATTACAAAATAGTGTAATAAACCAAACTTACTATGACATGTATACCCCTAAACTCAGTCTGAACTGAGTTACGAGCATTAGAAGTTTGATGATTTTACATAGCTAATAGATTTCCTTTTTGCGCGCAAGTTTTGTAAGAAATTGCAACAACATAGTGACATTGTATGTGAAAACAAACAATACCATCCATTAAAGGCTCCAGACATCAGTATGCAGCAGAATCAGCGCAATAAAAAAATAGCGCAAAATTTTGTTGCAATTTCTTACAAAACTTGCGCGGAAAAAGCAAATCTAGTATGAAAATCATCAAACTTCTAATGCTCGTAACTCAGTTCAGACTGAGTTTAGAGGTATACATGCCATAGTAAGTTTGGTTTATTACACTATTTTGTAATCAAAAAACAAAGTTTGGTCGATGGCCGCGCGAAAAAAAAAAGACGCCACCTTCCATACAAAATCTGGCATTGCCATTTGAGCGCTTCAAGCGCTTTACTGCCGCGTGGACTTTGACATCGTACGATATCGTGAAAATGTCTAACCTCACCTAACTGTATGCGAGCAAAAAACAATCGTACACTTCTAGTTGTCTCCAGTTAGCCTTCTCTTTTCAATGCTATCCTCTGCGACGGCCAAACGTTGTCAAGATCCATTTTATTTTACATTTTCAACAACATTTTATTCAGGGTTACCAAGGTTAAGTTGTTTATATTTGTGTATAGCACGTTAGTAGCAGGTTATTACACAATGTTGTCAATGGAAATACGTAAGACGTGATACTGTGTGCTCTGGGAGAAACGCCGGCTCTGTCAGTTCTGGATTTAATTGGTGAGTAGGTATTTTTTAATCAATACTTATGTTAATAACTCTTACAATTAGGGAAATTCTCAAGGCAATTTTTTTGGTTATCTTTGAAATGTATTTCAGAAATTGCAACATTTACGTGTAGGTATGTTCTGTGAATTGTTTTAGTAACATAAATGTGGCGGGAAATTCAATTTGCATTTTGGAGTTTGGACCATTTATAGTGTTTGATTAACTGTTCTATGCCGATTGTGTACAACGGTAAATCTATAGGTAGCTACTACGTTTACATAAAATCAGCATGGGAAATAGAATTTGATTTGATTTTGTGGTTAATTTAAGTTGAAGAATTTGATCGGAATTTGAAAAATAATTTACATAGGTCTACCTAATTAATAAAAAAAATATTTTACCTTAAGACCTAAAGGGGTTAACTAAAATATTGATAGGTAATTGATAGAATATTACTAGTTCCTAAGTAAAAAAAAAATAGAACCAAGCCAGTACTTAATCAAGTTCTACAGAGGAAATAGGTTTTCCTCTTTTAATTATAGTTGAGGAAAACATATTTTTATCAGTTATCTCCTTCATAAATTTCGTGTTAGGAAACTCATAAGAGCAAAAGTAAGTAAGTATGTCTGAAACTATAAGGGTTCCGTTTTTGCCATTTGGCTACGGAATCCTTAAAACGGTTGTTCAGTATTTTAACCATTGGTTGCATTTTTGGAATAAAACAGATACTACTATTATCTGGCTTATTTTTTTTATAGAAAATAAAGGTACATAAGGTAAATAAGGTACCTAACCAACGTATCTACCAATTAAGTAAGTAGGTACGTCGCTAATTTTTAAAAGTCGGTAATTCATATTGAAGTAGAGACCCCAAAAGGGACTTTAGTAAAGAGTCATAAATAAGTAGAGCAAATAAGGTTTTTATTAATATATGTACTTAAGTAATAGCTACAGTAACAAAGATGAGAGAAGCATTCGTATGTAATCAAAAATTAACTGTAGAACTTATAATCATAACTTTGATATGAAGTTCATCTACGAAAGAACTTATTTTTATTACGTTACGAATCACCGATAAATATCAAGGAAGTTTTTGTGTTTTTTTAATAAATATAATTACATAACGTGCGTAGGTAATCGGTGTTATCATTTCAATAATAATAAAAGGAAACAATAATTGTTATAAGGGTCATTCCACAAAAATATGTCAACTCTTAGTCCGCGCCACATTTCACATGAAATATTTGTTAATATTTTATTCCAAAATTGTTAAATAACAGCTCGCAATGTGCTTTATTCATCACCCATTTATATTTTTTGAAACTATTTTTAAAACATCTTAAATTCCTTTTGAATGACCCAAAACGTCATTCCCTAGGCATGTCCGTACTCCAAAAGTTTGTGTTTTGGGACCCACATTTATAAAAACATCAACTTTATCCTTTGTTTTAATTAACGAATAATCTATTTAAATGTATATTACACCAAATTCTATTAATATTTTGCGGTTTCAATAAACAATAATTTGATTTTCTTTAGTTGAAAAAGAGTCTACAGTTTTTAGCGTCATTCCCTCGCCACGCACTGATTTTATAATTTTGCGCTTTAATATGTAATTAGAGTGAATGATATTTAGTTGATTTTAAAGTACGATACGAAGTTATCCTCAGACCATACTGGCTTTGCGGTAGCCGTTTTTTGAATTAGTGCAAACGTGCCAGTTGTTACCGAAACATGTGTTATTCCAGTCACTTCGTCAGTCCCTAGTTGAGTAGCTTTATTGATTATAATAGGAAATTGTATATAATTTAATAGTATTTACGTGTGGTTTTTTGGCTATTTTCGGCACATCGTATTAAGCATCTTATAATATAAAGTTAATCTGCATTTGTGTTAAGTTTTACTCCAAATCGTCAGTCCCTAGAGCGTCAGGCCCTAGCTTTAAACGGCACTTGGGACTAAATTACTAGTTAGGGAATGATGTTTTTTATATAGTGATAATAACAAAACAACTACATTATGTGTATTAACTTATCTATAAATTTTAAGGTTAAAAGTTTTATACTTTATTAGAAGTCATATAGGAGTAATGTAGTATGAAAAAATTGAAAATTATAATTTCTCCTAAAATAAAGCATAAAGTGACTGGCCCTTTTAGACATAACATAATTAATTAATAAACAATAATTTACACTAATAAAGTATTCAAAAGCATCTTAAAAAAGTTACGGACAAAATGACGTCGAAAATATACAGATTTTTATGGAATGGCCCATAAAAGAATTATAACTAAATTCACGTCTAAGAAGTTACTTTACTTATGTCTCACTCTACAATTTTCCAGTATGAGCACCTATTGAATATATTAAACAAAGTAAATAATAACTTATATGAATAAAGTTATAATATTTTATACATGGAAATGAAATTCTATAAGGAGGTACATGGAAATAAATCTGGTGTAACATAAAAACAACGTTAAATAGGTAATTACAAACAATAGAGGCTCTGAAAAATATTAACAGACTCTGCTAAGTATTCGTGTAGTCACAAGGATTTTATGATTTATCATTACAATGTCATCTAGCGTAAACTACAAAAGTGTAATCTGAAAATAAATGACGATATTGTCAAAGTGTGTGCTTAATATTAAGGACAATAAAACTGAATTAAACGTGTACTTCTGAATTGTAATACATAAATAACTAAATAAATAAATGAGATGTCAATGAGAGCGAAATTGTCCTACATTCAGGTTGATTAAATATAACTCATGAATCGGTCAAAATAACTACTGTTTGTTATTGAACAACGCTACTATTCTTGCTGGCGTAATTAAAATTGATTGAGTTCATTAGATGCTCCAATTGACAGACAAGATAGTTGACATAATTTTATGTTTGATTTGTAAGCATACTCGAATGATGTAATGTAAGCTATATTGTAATTTTCCCATAGCATATTACTCATAGATTATTAAAGTTTCTATTAGGTACATACTCTTGACACCTGCACAGTGCACAATGTGCCATTCTTTATCAAAACACTTTAAAACATGTTGTACAAGTTTTAACTTTTTGTAAGCAAAAACCTTCTTAATTCATTGACAATGACATATTACTTTTCGTTTTTTTTATTTTTTATTTTTCGTTCGTTTTTATTATTCAAAGACGAGATAATTTAAAGATGAGTTCGGTCTGAAGATAAAATGATAAGCTGATAAGCAATAATCTCCGCTACTTACAATAATAAGGATAATTTATTTTTAGACTGAAATCTAAATAATGACTGTCGCTAAAGTCGCTATACGTTTGTCGTGTGATAAAAAAAAGTCTTAAGTTATACAATAAAGCTATTTGTATTATCCAAAATGATGAACCCGAGACCCACGAAAGACGATGATGATGAGAGATAATGGTGATTCTAATGTAACAGAATCATCATTATGCCATTTTAGTCTTCTGTAGAAGCACAACACTCTCTTTACGAGCGGTAAATAGAGGTCTTCGCATATTTTGTCCTTAAAATTGCTTTTTATCGTCATGGGTAAAGGAAGAAATTCAATAATATTTATTACAATTTAACAACTTATTGTTCCAGCTTTCAGCTCAAAATGGCGGAGGCGGTTTTCGGAATATGGGACTACCTGGTCATGGCTGCAACCATGATCGCGTCTGTCGCCATCGGACTCTACTTTCGGTTCAGTGGGGGAAAACAGAAAACAAATGAGGTGAGAAAACTTTCTTCACAATTTGAGTAAGTAGGAAACATTCGGACGAACTAGAAAATGTGTAAGTAGGTAGAGAGCTGATGGTTTTATAGCGCTAAGTAGAGTTTTTCATTTTGCTGCGCAATGCTATATTATTATGTATATTGTGTCGTCTGTATCTTTATTTATGGAGCTAATCACTGCTGCGCAGTGTTTAAAATGTATTGATTAATTAGGACTTGTTTCAAAAATGTCAATTCTGTTGAAAAACTGGTTATGTGAGTACACAGGCCGAAAAAGTGGTGACCGTTTACCTGTATTGGTGCGGCATCAGGTTGTAGCAAAATGATTAAAATGTTAAATACAGTATGGACCTTTAGGAGTTTCTGTTTCTCAAAAACCTGCACAAAAGACAACCGACCCCGAAAGCATCTAAAAATCATTAATATCAAAAATGATATTTCAATCAAATACAGCTTTCGCACTCTACCTCATAGAGGCGAAGAAAAATTCATGCGCTGTGAAAAATGTACCTACTTGGCTACCTCTTACTTGATCGCATGACAACGCCGTGCAATTTGCTCGCTTAAATTTCCATTGACTCCAAACGATAACTGATCTCCATAAAGATAACTCAATATGCAAACATTTCCACAAAGTTGTTGAGAACTAAGTAACTGAGATTATTTTATCAAACTGTCTTCGTATGATTTGTTTCCATTAAAATTAAAATGTAGAGTAATGATTTGTAATATATTTTGAAGAAGATACGCTCCGCTTATTAAAAATATTTTTTTTTACACAGGAGTATCTCCTCGCCGACCGCAACATGTCAATCCTGCCAGTTTCTGTTTCGCTCATGGCGTCCTTCATGTCAGCTATCACCCTCCTTGGGGTCTCAGCTGAGAACTACTACTACGGCATGCAGTTCGTGGTCATCAACATATCCTACGGGATAGCGACACCCATCGCCAGCAGTCTCTATCTACCAGTATTCTTTGGACTGCAAAAGACCAGCACCTACGAGTATTTAGAGCTGAGATTTGGGCCGACGATACGAATGCTCGCATCTCTTACGTACACGTTACAAATGGTGCTGTATAATGGAATAGTGTTATACGCTCCAGCGATAGTGCTGGAGGCTGTGACTAAACTGGATAGACTGATATCGATACTAGTGGTAGGGTTAGCGTGTACGTTCTACTCTACTTTGGGCGGCATGAAGGCTGTTCTCTTCACCGACCTGTTGCAGTCAGCGCTGATGTTTGGGGCTGTGTTCAGCATAGTTATCTTCAGTTCGGTGCAGCTTGGTGGATTCGACCAGATCTTTGTGAAGGCATTGGAAGGCGGCAGGCTAAACTTTAGCAAGTGAGTTTCAGGTTTTTCCATTTCCTTTATGTTCATATTTTTACTAAAGTATAAACTTGCTTCTTTATAGAATTTGGAAGAAAAACCCCTCTAATTTTGGGTGGGTATAGATTTCCCCGAGGCATTCAGCGCGTCTAATCCTCTTATCATTTTGTATTTTTAATTAATTGCTGTTCTTTGCCTGAAAGACTGTCTGTCACAATCTCAATTTCTCTCAGGTTGGAATCTTAGGATGTTAGATAATTATTTACTAACACGTATTTTCTGTTACAGCTTCAGCATAGACCCTACAGAGAGACACACTTGGTGGTCACTTATCATTGGCGGCCTTATCACTTACTTGTCGCTGTATGCGGTAAATCACACACAGGTACATACCTACGTTATCTAAGATACAAGCTTTGATTAATTTTTGGTGTTAATTAGATATGATTTTGTATATTTACAACTATTAATTTTAGCTTATCGATTTCAAATCTCAACGCTTTTCGTGTCATGTTTTAAAAAGTCGCGGTGTTAGTTTAAATAGGTACGACCTATCCTAATGTTGTAGATGTGTAACTGGCCTAACAAAACATTCAATGCAATATTACTTTTTACTCAGATGCGAAATAATAACTGCTATATTGAACACTTAAGCGAGAATAATCGATAATTGTTATTTAAAATTGAACGGTGCCGGATGACTGGTGTCTACTTAGCAACGCTTGTTTTCAGATGGAATTATGCCGCTTGTAGCAATTCAAATTACCTACTTAGTCTGTATTTGATGACTGATTGATTATATTAATCTACAGCTTTATATGTATAATAGTAATACATACTATGTGTTACGTATATTCTAACTGGTAACTGGTCTTTACGCCAGCCAATACCTAACAATCTATGTATTTCACTACATTTTGTTTCGAGTTGTTGACACACTTAATGTAATTAAAATGTGACACAGATATTGCCACATGACATTGAAAAAAAGAACTAATTTTCTGTCGACGACTGTTTTATCTTTATAATACTTACGATAAGTGTCAAGGTGCAAAAAATATGCGTGATTATTAAGGGTCATTGATAAACGCTGATTTAAGAATTTTGATGCTAAATATATCTCAAACACATAGCTGGGCATTAACTCGTTAATCCGTTAATCGTTAATTAACGAAGTTAACATTTCTATTAACGGATTAACTTTTAAGTTAACCATAAAAAATGTTAACGGACTCGTTAACTTCCGTTAAATTATCCTAAGTCCGTTAATCGTTAATCCAGTACTTTCTATTTACCAAAAAGATACAGCAGGCATGCTGAATAACACTAGAAAAACGCGTTCTGACAAGTACGTTTGGGCTTCCAGAACCTCCAGAACCCAAAACAACAGTTTTTGTAACCAGAACGAAACGATATAAAAATAATTTTTTTTATTTATTTACAAGCTTTATATTGACAATATTGACATCACTTGTTAGCATGTGTGGGACAAATCTTGTAACTGAATTTAAGACCAGTTCTCAACCGATTGAGCTGAAAGGACATCATCCATTTTGGTCCAAAATCAAAAGTGACGGCCAAAAAATAAAAGTGCTGTATTTTGACTGAATACGTCCGCCTTAGCATTTATTACTATTTTATTTTATTTATTTATTTATTTGAACACCAACAAGGTTACATTGAGGCTTCACAAAAGTAACTATAGAAAAATGACACTTGTTAAATGCAAACTTAATTATAGGTGAAAACATCGTGCGTTAGAGACTAAAGCAACAGCAATTAGGGATTAAAAACTAAAAATACTTATTTAATATGGTGTAAAGAAGTCCCTATGCTTGTTCTAATCGGTGAGATTTGTCCAAGCATGTGGACTTGTATTTACGTAAACTAAGGAAAAAAATATCAACATTAACATTATTGGACCTAGACAGGGCATTGTATTGATTAAACATTCTATTTAAAGGGGAAAACAGACCTATATTTGATTTGGAGCTCCTGGTCGCAAACAAGTTGTATCGGGATATCCTAGGCAACTTATAGGGAACGTTTAGATTAACTTTTGAGAGCAGGTTAGGGCAGTCAAAAGCACCGTTGACCAATTTGTATAAAAACGAATTATCAAGCACACAGCGGCGTTCCTGAAGAGTATTTAACTTGAAGTAACGTAATCTATCTTGATAGTGGGGTAATTTTTTTGCCAGGTTGACACTGAATGCCAGATGCCATAAAAACCTTTTTTGGATGCGCTCAAGTTTTTTTATATAAACGTCGTAATGTGGATTCCACACTACACTACAATATTCTAGACCACTTCGCACGAGTGCGTTGTATAAAACTATTTTAGTTTGTGGCTTCTTGAACTCTTTACAGTTTCGCAACACAAATCCAAGTAATTTATAACTCTTATTTACAATGTTATCTATATGAATATTAAATCGCAGTTTATTATCAAGAGTCACTCCCAGGTCACGAATACAATTCAATTCCATAAGTTTGTCAGGTCCTATAGTATAATCTCTAGCGATGGACGTTTTGTTACGGGTAAAATTAATTACAAAACATTTTTTCGCGTTTAGAGACATGCCGTTTACCTCGCACCATTCAACCAGACTATCCAAATCCTCCTGTAGTAGTTTAGTATCACTTATGTCCTCAATTTGCCTTTGGGCTCGTGGGATTTGTCTTTTCGAGCACTTTAGTACTAGATGATGTCCAGGGTCCTGATGATGGAGTCAGGAGGTGGCCATAGGAATTCCTAAACGAAACGGTGGAAAGTTATTGAGTTTGGGTTTGTTGGATTTGTCTTTTCGAGCATTTTGGTGCTAAATTGTATTGTAATGGAACCAAGGCTCTGAGATTGAGATACTATAGACTAAAAGCTAGTGAACGCCAGACCTTCGTCATTTTATAAAAGCTGATTTTATCAGCGTATGCTCCCAATACGTATAGGTTAGAATGTTGGAGGATTATGAAGTTAGGGTCATCGTTGCTTTGGCAGCTATCCTAAAAAAACTGTCTGGCAAGGATTTGGAACTGTCAAAACTGTGTGGCTGATGTCGAAACAACTCATTGCCCAAATATTAAACATAAAAATCAGATTTTTTGGTATAACGTAAGTAGAATTAAAGTCTATTGAATATACAGAAAAAGCCACCGTAAAAGTTAGGCTTATGTACCATACGAGTATACCATAAAAGCTGATTTTTATATAAAATATTAGGGCAATAATTAGAAGTAGTTTCCTCATCAGTCAGACAGTTTTGACAGTTCCAACTCCTTACCAGACAGTTTTTTTAGGATAGCTGCTATAGCCACGATGACCCAAGCTTCATGATTCACCAACATTCTATCCTATATTGGGAGCATACGCTGACAAACTTTCAGCTTTTATAAGATGACGTAGGTCTGGCGTTCACTAGCTCTTATTCTACTACTAAAAAGTGTAAAATAAAATTATAATAATAAATACTTTTTTAAAAACAAGCTTTTATTCTGAAATGCAGTTGTTACTAAAACGAAATAAAAACTGTATGCAAGGTTCAAATAATTTCGAAAGCTTGTAGCGCAAACATAAAAGAGGAAAGGAATTAATTCCGTGCGCGAAACAAGCTTTCGAAATTAGTTTGAGCCTTGCATACAATTGTTTTTTTTCGTGTGTTAACGGATTAACGATTAACGTTAACTTGCGTTAAATCTTGCTAAATGTAACGTTTTAACGTTTAACGAAGTTAATTTTTTTATTAACGGTTTAACGATTAACGAAGTTAACTATTTGATTAACGGTGCCCAGCTATGCTCAAACATAATTTAAGCCTCAGGTAGTAAGGACTTGTGTTCAGTAAGAACTGATCCCGCAAAGCTCTTGAGAGTAAAAACAGCTTTGTGGTGGGTTGATGACCCACCTGAGGCTATCGATTTTTTCAACTTAGGTTTCGTTGTCACAAAAGTGGTTTGGTGAGTCTGACGCAAATAACAGGGCATTGACCTATTTTAGGACCAAGTGTGACGAGTGGAAAATATTTTGTAGTCTACTCTACTTGGCACTTGCCTGTCGCTTCACTGGCGATGTAACTCGCACTGTGGCTAAAGCTTTTCGAAGTCGTAGTCCATCATCATGTCTGAAAATACTAATTGTGAGATGGAATAAACTGTCCATATTTTGTACCACATTTAAAGCAAATAAGATGATTCTGATTCTGATCACTACACGGCATACAGAGACGTATCTCCATTCCCTATAATAATAGTTATACAAACTAGGTAATTAACAAAATTACACCATACACTTATTTTTTGGGCGTGATGTAGGAACTGGCACTCTTCCTAGGGATTTCATAAAAAGCGACTAAGGGATAAATGCGAACATCAATTTATTCTGGCCTTCCGAGCCCGACTGGCCTAGCGTGGCAATATTCTCCATTTACCTATGGTAAATGATTCTGATGAGACGTTCCTTTTGAGGTCGTTGGTCCATCACAACAAAGATACAAACTAAACTACCTATATCAACGAAAGTATTACTTAAGTATAGACTTACCTTTCAGGTCCAGCGTCTCCTGACAGTGAGCACCCTGGGCCGCTCCCAGAAGTGCCTGTGGTGGAGCTGGCCGGTGCTGTCGGTGCTGAGCATTTTCACCTGCATCAGCGGGCTCGGCATCTACGCGGTGTACAGGGACTGCGATCCGCTGGTGGACGGGAGAATTGATAGCGTGAGTTTTGGGAGTCAAATAGAACTTAGCTTATGAGGTTGCCAAATAGAAGTGGTGCAGTAGTTTAGTACTTATGAGGTGATAGCAAGGAGCAGTGAGTACCCTGGGCCGCTCCCAGAAGTGCCTGTGGTGGAGCAAGCCACTGCGATCCTCTGATGGACGAGAGAATTGATATCGTGAGTTTTGAAAGAAAGAAAGAAAGAAAGAAAAAACATTTATTTGGTACCAAAAAATTAAACAATAAGTACAATCAACTTAAAAAGCAGAATACATTGTACCAAATTGTTTTGGGAGTCAAATAGAAGTGTTGTAGTAGCTTCGTACTTATGAGGTGGTAGCAAGGAGCAAAGTTGAAGTCTCCTGACAGTGAGCTCCCTGGGCCGCTGCCAGAAGTGTCTGTGGTGGAGCAGGCCGCGCTGACTGCGATCCCCTGATGGACGGGAAGATTGATAGTGTGAGTTTTGGAAGTCAAATAGAACTGGCGCAGTATGTTAGTCCTTATGAGGTGGTAGCAATTAAAGAGAAAAGTTGAAGGCTCCTGATAGTAAGCACCCTGGGCCGCTGCCAGAAATGCCTGTGGTGGAGCAGGCCGCCCTGACTGCGATTGATCTTCTGATGGACGGGAAGATTACTAGCATGTAGTTTTGGGAGTCAAACAGATGGTGCAGTAGCTTAGTACTTATGAGGTGGTAGCAAGGAGCCAAGTTACAAGTCTCCTGATAGTGAGCATCCCTGGGCCGCTCCCAGAAGTGCCTGTGGTGGAGCTGGCCGGTGCTGTCGGTGCTGAGCGTGTTCACCTGCATCAGCGGGCTCGGCATCTACGCGGTGTACAGGGACTGCGATCCGCTGGTGGACGGGAGAATTGATAGCGTGAGTTTTGGGAGTCAAATAGAACTTAGCACTTATGAGGTGGTAGCAAGGAACCAAGTTACAAGCATCCTGACAGTGAGCACACTGAGCCGCTACCAGAAGTGCCTGTGGTGGAGTAGGCCGCGAGATTGCTAGCGTGAAATTTTGGAAATCATATAGAACTGGTTCAGTAGCTTTGTACCTGTGAGGACTACCTCTACTAAGCAAGGAGCAAAGTTGAAGTCTTCTAACAGAAGTACCCTGGGCCGCTGCCAGAAGTGCCTGTGGTGGAGCTGGCCGCGCTGACTGCGATCGATCTCCTGATGGACGGGAAGATTACTAGCGTGTAGTTTTGGGAGTCAAATAGAACTGGTGCAGTAGCTTAGTACTTATGAGGTGGTAGCAAGGAGCAAAGTTAAAGTCTCCTGACAGAAGTACCTTGGGCCGCTGCCAGAAGTGCCTGTGGTGGAACAGGCTGCGCTGACTGCGATCGATCTCCTGATGGACGGGAAGATTACTAGCATGTAGTTTTGGGAGTCAAACAGATGGTGCAGTAGCTTAGTACTTATAAGGTGGTAGCAAGGAGCAAAGTTAAAGTCACCTGACAGATGTACCCTGGGCCGCTGCCAGAAGTGCCTGTGGTGGAACAGGCTGCGCTGACTGCGATCCCCTGATGGACGGGAAGATTGATAGTGTGAGTTTTGGGAGTCAAATAGAACTGCCGCAGTAGGATTATCTTATTTTATCAACATAATACCTTTTCAATCATGTTCCTCCCCTTCGTATGGCATTTTCACCTTCAAGTCTTCAGCAAATCTGTTAATCAATTGCAGATCGACCAGCTAATGCCGTACTACGTGGTGGACGCGATGCGGTCCGTGCCAGGACTGGCCGGGCTCTTCGTGGCGGGAATCTTCAGCGCCTCGCTGTCTACAATATCAGCCGCTTGTAACGCACTTGCTGCAGTCACACTCACGGACTACGTCAGCAGGTCAGTTTGTCATTTACCAGACCGGTAGAATAGAATCAATACAGTGTGTCCGGGCATGTAGTGATCAAACTTTAAGGGCGTAATCTATGGACAATTTTATCGATGAAAATACTTCAAATTTGGGGTCTGACCCATTTCTCGAAAAATTACATCGATTTAAGTTTTTAATTTTTAGTTTACACCTCTTCTTTAAAAAACAAGTGAAAGCGTGGGTAGCTTAACATTAATAGGCAAATATTTTATATCATGCGATAGCCAATAAAATTATCTATTAGTAGAAGAAGAAAGCAGACACAAGTTTCATACATTTTATGGGAGTAAGAATGGATTTAATTAGAAAAATACATTACTTTTTTCACTTCTTTTTCAGTTATTTTCCAACACAAGAAAAACCAGGTCGTCAAGGTATGTTTTATTTGCATTGTATTATTAGTATTTGAGCTATTCTACAAAACGAATGTAAATTTATTAGTCTACGTCTATTAGTTTCGACGTAATTGTTGAACAAAGATACCCCTTCCCAGCGGTTTCCATAGTAATCGGAATAGGTTGTGTGATTCTTTCAGGCAGTGCATTTTCGCATGTCGCGTGCGCTATGGAAACCGCTGGGAAGGGGTATCTTTGTTCAACAATTATGTCAAAACTAATAGACGTAGACTAATAAATTTACATTCGTTTTGTAGAATAGCTCAAATACTAATAATACAATGCAAATAAAACATACCTTGACGACCTGGTTTTTCTTGTGTTGGAAAATAACTGAAAAAGAAGTGAAAAAAGTAATGTATTTTTCTAATTAAATCCATTCTTACTCCAATAAAATGTATGAAACTTGTGTCTGCTTTCTTCTTCTACTAATAGATAATTTCATTGGCTATCGCATGATACAAAATATTTGCCTATTAATGTTAAGCTACCCACGCTTTCAATTGTTTTTTAAAGAAGAGGTGTAAACTAAAAATTGAAAACTTAAATCGATGTAATTTTTCGAGAAATGGGTCAGGCCCCAAATTTGAAGTATTTTCATCGATAAAATTGTCCATAGATTACGCCCTTAAAGTTTGATCACTACATGCCCGGACACACTGTATAAATGTTCCAATGACAAATTATTCTTGGTCTTTTTAGTCGAGTTGCCTACGAATATAAAGTTGCTTAAAGTTGGAGTTAAAAAAACTGGCAAAATCTTTTTACTCATCAATCTTGTCGTTTCCGTAACGCGAGATTGGTTTTTCTTTCATTCACTGAATTTTGTTAATTTAAACTTGAATTTAAATATCGGAAGCAATTTACTTTGTATTCTTTATTGCACGTTGTAGCCACGATATCTAATCTAAAAAGTACCTACTTACCTACCTAATATTTGAAATCTTACATCATTTACTAACATTGACTTTTTATTACTTGCAAGCAGGCTTCCACAAAGGTAACTTCAACTTCTTACTAATCTTACACCATTATTCATCTCTCGCTTTCTTCATACTATCCCACAATAATACAGTCTTAGATAGCATCTTGCGAAATTCCTGTGTACCTTTCGCGAGTATGAAAGAGTTGACGGTGGCCATTCGTTTTATTACCACAACATTTGTTGGAGACCTACTATAGTACCTTGCGGAACTCCTGTTCTAGATGGTGCACCATTCGCGAGTCATACATCTCCTGGCTGACGAAGCTGGCTGCGTGTGCCTACGGGCTCATATTTTTGGCGCTGGCCTTCTTAGCGGAGCATCTGGGAGGCGTGCTGCAAGCCGCACTCACCATCTTTGGGGCCGTGGGGGGACCGCTCTTTGGGGTCTTCACTTTGGGAATGTTCACCACTTTTGCTAATGAGAGGGTGAGTAGAATGTTAAATAAATAGTGAACTTGAATCACTTTGATAGGATTCAGAAATTGAAATTGGGAATAATAAAAACATGTCTGTACCACTTTACTGTAGAGTTACAAACAAAATAATCATATTTTAATACACATAATACAATCAAATCTAGATCAATTTAATATAATAGAATAATTCGTTAGCCACGATAGCCGAACGGTGAAGGGGTCGGAGTGGCCGACTCGAGATCCGAGGAACGCGGGTTCGAATCCCACCTCCGCTCGACTATTGTGGTGAGCCCACTCGTAACACAAGCTTATTTAGCTTAACACGAGGGGCTAATGGGAGTGTTAGTAATTTGGGCAATACAAATTGCTAATAATCTTAAAAAAAAATGTAATCCAATAATGATTTCAAGAAGGAATAGGTTTTCTCTCTTTCCACACCAGATGTTTCTTAATGACTGGTCTAAAAGTAACCTTCCAGAAGGAAACGTTACGGTTTAGACGATTCAAGTTATTCCTTGTGTTCAGTGACTGTTCTAGTTCTATAAAGTCCTAGTATCACTGCGACCGGTATCAATCTATTGTGATAAGTTATTCCTTATTTCGATACGGACTACTATGCCGAGAGGTCCCGGGTTCGATTCCCGGCCGGGCAGAAATTGAAATGATGAATTTTGATTTCTGTGATGGGTCTGAGTGTTACTATGTATAATATGTATATATTTACAAAAAAAAAACTATTTAAGTATCACAAGATAAGTTTATATCCGTTGTCTAGTACCCATAGTACAAGCTTTGCTTGGTTTGGAACTAGAAGCGTAGTGTAAAATGTCCAAGGATATTTATTTATTTTATTTTTATTTATCTCACAAAATGTTTACTTCTCTTCATATTCCAGGGTGTCTCAATCGCACTGCTCAGCGGCATGGCGATGACGCTCTGGATGAGTTTTGGGGCGCCTCGGCCTCCGCCCGCCAAGCTGCCTCTTAGCGTGGAAGGCTGCGGGCACAACGTCACCTTAGCGGAAACGCTCGTCTCCAACCCATCTGATTACTTTTATCTCTACAGAATCTCATACATGTGGACCAGTCCTGTGAGTTTTCGTCTATCGTTTGTAGTATTTGTTTTAATTTTTTTCATGTTCCAATATTTTTGATAAGTAGTAACCTACTTACATTTTATTAAGAAAATAGAATACCATGAATAATGACCATAAACGGCAAAATTGTCACACAGTGTAGCCTGATTTTCTTGACATCTTCCAAAACTCTCTAGAAAGCTTTTCCCAGCTGTGGACTGAGGCAGCTGGATGGCGATGGTCTCCCAATATCATATCCCGAGCAGCAAATGGAGCTTTTCATTTGTAATTCTATTAGTGGAACCATAGGCAATATTTTGTGTTCCCAACTACAAACAGGCAATAAACCTGTGGTTCTTGTTGTAGAATCAAGAGCAACAATTTTTCCATCTCTCTACTGTGTAATGCATGACAATAATCAAATCAATCTACCCTCAGTTCGGGTTCGCCTGGGTGATCGTGGTAGGAGCCATATTATCGCTGGTGTGGCGCCACAAGCAGCCATGGGAGAGAGCGGGACGCATGCGTCCCGACCCCGCACTCTTCACACCTCCCCTCGCTCGCCTGCTGAAGGCTAGGGGAGATTCAGAGAAATCGGCTCAGGTAACGAAGCGACGCTACATTTTGCATGACGTAGTGGATTAGATAAGCAATGCAAGATACAGTATTAGTTATTTCTAGTATGCATGACGCATGTCATTGTGGAAAAGCATGAAAATTATGGGGAAAAATTCGTGGAGTCTGGTGGTGATCTTGATTATTAGAATTGGTATGGGGGTATTTGTAAGGTAGCTTAATGGGTAAAATACAATATGGAAATTGTAGTATGGATAGTTAGTAAGTATTTAAGTACATACCCTTTGAAGCTCAATCATTTCTTTTGCATGGGGTAGAAATCTCATTACCAGTTTGTGATATATTCCAGGTTTTCTAGCAATTTTCTCAGAATTACGGGGTTTACATACCTACTTAGACAATCACAAATAAAATAAATTAGCTCATATTTAAAGTATTTCCGATCCATACGTGCCTGTTCGAAAATTTTCCATAAGAATTGTAAATATTTCATTCATAACGGGTTACCTTTTCATGTTCATTAACTCGCTTGCTATTGCCTATTGCATGTGGTAGTTTTATTTCTAGAAGGACGCGGAGTAGCACGTAGCCGCAAACGCTTCGGGCCTGCTTGTAGATAGCGCTTGAAAAGGTTGGTTTTGTTCTACTTTTTCAGGAAATGATTAAATTTTTGTACATTACAACGACCTCGTCAAAGCTATTTCTCTGGACTGTTCTGGACTCAAAATCAATTGATTACTTCCTGAAAAATCTTATGAATGAGAAATAAACTTAAGAACTTCGTTAGTCGTTTTGAAAAGAAACAGTAGAATATCATTAATTAAATGTTAGGGTAATAAGCTTTTTAATGCTTCTGAATGGAAATTGTCAATGTCCATCTATGTTTTTGTTGGGTCAACTAGAAAGTAAAAAGTTCTTTAATATTAGAATAATTTAGATAAACCATTTTTTACTAATGTCTTTGTTGTTTTACAGTGTGAACTCCTCAAACACAACGGTATTCACAAGTGACGATGGTGTATTTACTTTTATAAAAAAATATAGATAAATTGTTGTTAGATCTATTTTAGATTGGAAATAAATAGTTGACATTCCTAAAAATATTGTAGTGGCTATTTTGTGAAATGACAATATTTATAGCACATATTAGGCACTACTATTTTGATAATCGTGTTTCTAGCAATAAATAGGTGTTAGTAGCCATTCAGTAATAAGATGTTAAAACGTCTAAGACCTTACTGATGTACTTAATGGGTACTTAAGAAATAAATTTATATTTTGACGATATTTACAATTAACGAATCTATATTGTACGGACTCCTATCTACAGTAGGTAGATATCTACTTACATTTAATACGAAAAAGTCATGTTGTGAAGTAAAGGTAAGTAATGACTCTTTGACACTGATAGAGGTGCATCATTGTAATTATTCCTAATAGTTACACTTGAATTCCATATCAATAGTTTAATACCGTAATTATTTACAAGGATTCCTTCCTTCCATTACCGTCAATCTAATTCATATCATTAATGTCTGGATTTTTTGTGATTTTAACTTCTACCCTATCGAGTTAACTGCGCACCTGGCAGCCGTGACGTCACATCGACGCTCTGGCACGGACAGGGGGAAAGCGGGTGAGCAGTGTTGCCAGTAGGGTCTTGTCAGAAATTACCAGAAATATAAAAAAAACAAGCTGACCCGGCGAACTTTGTTCCGCCCTAATGGCAATAAATAAGCAGACTTTTTTTTTAATTTCGAACGGGATAAAAAGTATCCTATGTCCTTCTCCTGGCTCTAAACTACCTCCCTGACAATTTTCAGCTAAATCGGTTCAGCCGTTCTTGAGTTATAAGTGGAGTAACTAACACGACTTTCTTTTATATATATAGATGTAACCTTTTTAAAAAAAAAGTAACCCTCAAGAGGGGGGGTTGCGGTTGATATCATAAACCTGATTCGTACTAACATCTTTCAACTTCGACTCTTAATCAGCCAAAATTCATACAAAGTGTTATTATTAATGAAAATTAATTAGAAATCATCAACATTTTGAAAGTTAATTCTACAAATTCCAAAAAATAACCTTTTCATTAGTGTAACTTAAAAGTAACTAATGCAGTTCAAAAATCACCTAAAAGGTTACAAAAGTAACCTTCTGGCAACACTGCGGGTGAGTGCGAGAGAGTCGCATTCCAGCGAGGTGCGCAGTTAACTCGAACTAGTCCTATTTTGTGTCTATGCTCACCTAATTCCAGCAGTACCGTACCTATAGTATATATTATACTTATTTTATACACCACTAAATTTTTATCACCGAAAAAAATTTAACAGGTTATGTAGAAACGTGTGGAATATTGAAAGCAAAAGAAAAAGAAATGGTTTTCATGAAGTTAATTTTTTTATTAAATTTTCGTTAGTCCGTATTTTACGCGTCACAGCTGGGTCACTCCGCTGCTCGCTAGAGTAGTATTACGCGCTCGCACGTTGCATCGATCTGTCTGTCTCGCTCACGCCTCGACCACGCTTCCAGTGTTATTATTACATACTTAGCTAACTTAGACCATTTTGAATTCTAATAAGTGTTACATTATCATACGTAAATAGTGCTAGCGACGCGTGTGTCCATAAATTACCAATTTTAGGAAGAAATTTTGAGTCACTTTATTTTACTCTTTTTTTTGCACAAATGGGATCAGTATCAATAACTCATTACCCAGAATTTTTTTTTCGGTGATTAAAATTTAGTCGTGTATACAGTGGTGATCTAAGCATAAGTTTTGAAGATTTTCCTTACTTTTTAGTATGTGTGATTTGTTTTCTTTAGCATTAAGGGACACGAATATCAGCCACTAAGCTTGCTGTGATAGCGAAAACGTTCTTCCAGTAGAAAATGTAGCACATAGCTTTTGTATACCTACTTGTATAGCTTCTTAATATTTATTAAGCTTAGTACAGACTTGTGTAATGTCTGAAATTACGAATAAGAATGGATAACACAGAAATTGAATGAAAGAAGCATGATGCGAGATACTTTCGACCGAAAATGACGAGTTAGATTATTAGAGTAACTCTACACCTGTCTGAACCAGGTTTTAGGTTTATTTAAGAGTTTTTATGTAAGTTTAGCACTTGATTATCTTTGAGTTGACAGAATGCTGTATTAGCAGAGTGTGTAATCAATATTAGATTTCTACGTTATTCAATAATTAATACATTTTATTTTGGAATGATGGAAAATTACTATTAGATAATAGAACACATTATTTATTGTTATTATCTTGCTTGTAAGGTTTATTGAATAAAATATTAGGTATAAGTAAAAAAAATGAAAGAGACAAAACATTTCAATGTCAATATTCGACATAAGTAGAGCACAGTTATTTGATTTCATTGCAAATGTAGTAAGTAGCTTTTATGTTTGTGTTATCACAAATTAATTATTAACGCATTTATCAATATGTTTTTCATTTTTACAAAAATTACAAAAAAAAAATGTAACGTACTTAAATGTAAAGAAGTATCTAGAATTCAATAACTATCCTGAAGCTTAATTTGTAAACTTAATTTACGATAGTATGGCTCTGAAAAGTTCGAAATGATTGTGAAAATCACATCCGAAATTATATGCATATGAAAGATCGTTAAACCAAATTATTTGAACCCATAATATTACAACTGGCTGTGGAAATATAGACGTATTTAATTTAATATTTATTTATTTATTATTAACTTATTCGGCCTTTGTGTTAATTAAACTATATTTATAGCGACTGTTTTTAGAATCTTGTTTTATTTTTTAATGAACTTAAATTAAATGAATTAAAAATTATAATTAAAATAAAACTATGTAGAGTTACGGTACATATATTATGTATTTTATGTCTACAAACGAACATTGTGATGTGATGTAAAATGTTCCAAATATACAACCTGTTTAAAAATACTTTTGTTTTATTTTTATTGTAATGTAATTTATTATGCATACTTTATCTCCCTCTTGTTTGTTATTTAAAACGACCGAACAGTTCGCGACATTATTTTATGACAGCTCTGTGATGAATCTTACTAGTTTATGTAGAATAATATTATAAATGCGAAAGTAACTCTGTCTGTCTTGCTTTCACGCCTAAACCACTGAACCGCTTTTGATGAAATTTGGCATAGATAGTTTGAGTCCCGGGAAAGGACATGGGATAGTTTTTATCCCGGTTTTTGAAACAGAGACGCGCGATAAAGTTTTTCTGTGACAGACAAAATTCCACGCGGGCGAAGCCGCGGGCGGAAAGCTAGTCTACTATAAAACTAAGCACATTTTGTGCACGTATGTATCCTTAGTTGCAGCAACTAAAAATACCAAAATACATAGGTGACCTACTTATGTATTAAAGACGTTTCATCTTTTTACGGCACGTAAATAAAATCAAGCCATTGTTTTTCTAACTCTATCAAGTTTAAAAAAATGGACTAGTAGTTAACCTGGTTTTACTAGGCACACTTGCCAAAAATAAAATGATTGGTCTGCGTGATTGTAACTAGGTGAGTAATTAATTAGTTCTACACACACAGTACAATCTTCGAATAATCGAAAACATCAGAGACACGACTTCATCGAATGTTACTACACGACCTGAGACATTTAATGGGTTTTGATAAACTTGCTAAATATATTTGCCAGACCATGCGTTTCGGTCGCAGAACTCTCCATTCACAAGTTGCATACGCTAGACGACACACGTGTGTGTAATACTGAATAATATTCATTATTATTCACCTAGTGTTGTGCCCAGTGCTTCACCGGTGAACTTTTAACTTGTAAAAATAAGGTTAAAAAATTTAAACACGTTATGCGTACGAAAAAGTGATAATTTTACCGTGATTTATTCTAAAATGCATCAAAATTCAGTTTCTCACATTGCCGGCCTTGATTTACTTTAAATACTTGGGTCTTTGGTAAGTACGGTTTTGTTTGTTTTTTAAGAATTCATACGACTTTTGATCACTTAGAATTACCTACTTACTTAGTAGGTATGTAATCTGTTTTGTAAATGACTCCGGTTGTAAATAAATACAATGTTAGTTTCGGGTCAAGGCTAGATTATTGCTATTTGTGTGATCAACAAAACACTGAAAGTACCTAATAATTAACTAATCGTAGAGTCGGTAAATATAAAAGTGAAATTTCTTATATGGAGACTATTTTCATCATCATCATTTCAGCCACAGGACGTTTACTGCTAAATATAGGCCTCCTCCAAGACTTCCACATCGCATAGTTGGTAGCGGCCTGCATCCAGCGCCTTCTTGCTACCTTTATCAGGTCGTCGGTCCACCTTGTGAGTGGATGTCTCACGCTGCGTTTTCTGGTACATGGACTCCACTTTAGAACCTTGCTGCTGATGCTGATGATGAGACTATTTAAAAAAAAATTGTTCAGTCGAACTGACCCTGGAATTTTCAGTCAGAAGGTGGATTGACCACCTAATAAGAATAGAAGCTCTTACCAAATTAATTACAGACGGTTAGAATGAGCTATAAATATGAGGCCATGAGGCCTAGGTTCGGTAGCAGACGTCCTAAGGCTAGGCTACTATGTGCATGGTTACACAATATTCTTGAGCGCTTACGAGTAATTCCTTGATAATGCCCAATACATACAGGTATTTCAATTTCATATAATATTACAATATAACATCTGCAATGATAAGTTAAAATGCGTTTTAAGATGAAGATAATTTTGTGATAAGCAGATAACATACATTTGATATAAATTCGGCAGACTAAAAAAATCGACCTTGTCTTTATATCAGTCTAATAAAAGCAGTATCTAATCCAGCAGTTGTCGATGTCTGTAGGTAGGTAAATAAAATTCTATATCAGAATTATATTTTTTCTTTAAAATTGCCAAATCTTGGGAAAAATTGAACAAGTAGATATTGCATTCCAGTTCGATTTTATACGAAAAATTCTAAGGGATAATTCCATTAAGGAATTTAATTAATAAAACTTTTTGCACGCATTATAACATCAGAATCAGATCAAAGTCGAACTTAACGCTTTAAAGAATTCTCTTCCAGTTAACCTCCTAAATGATATGCAAATTATAGTCAAGTACACCATAATCCTTATTTTACAGTAAAAATGGTCGAGAACGTATTTGGGGCATGGGACTACGCCATCATGGCGGCGACTATGGTGGCATCGGTCGTCATAGGACTCTACTTTCGATTCAGCGGCGGTAAACAAAAGACAAACGAGGTAATTAATGTTACTTAGATAATAATACCTATAAATATGAAAGTAACTATGACTGTGTGCCTGAATTTTGGTAAAAGAGACAAGTACTTTGTGTAGGCTACCTTTAATGAAAAAAATCTAGGGATGTGTAAATTACAAGTAATTTTTATTTATCGTTTGGTAAGAAATCAGAAAAGTCTCGGAGATAAGTATTTTGTCTACGATACGAGCCATAAAAAAAATATGTGACTGAAACATGCGGCTGAATTCGCGAGAAGAAGCTTAACATAAATAACTGTAGTTTAGACAAACGTAAATCCTAGCTTGTAGTAAAGAGGTTATCGTCTAAAAGCTAGCAATAACAATGTGATTTATAACTACTATAGATGTAGAATAGTATTCATTGGTTAAATGGCGCTTGTCCGCTCCGCTAATAACGGCAACAACTCAGTGACTTGCAATTAAGTAGGTCATCGTTCATTTAATCTGATTGAAACAGTGATCTCTTCTCTACTCATGTAAAGAGAAAGATAAAATTAATTTTATTACGTTCCAACAAGGTAAATACAGATAGAACCATTCAAAAAGTGCCTCTACCTAATCCGTAAATGAAGACGCCCTTCTCTTTTACAGGAGTACCTAATGGCCGATCGGAACATGTCAATTCTTCCAGTAGCCGTCTCACTAATGGCATCCTTCATATCTGCAATCACTCTACTCGGAGTGTCTGCTGAAAACTACTACTACGGCATGATATTCATCGTCGCCAACCTGGGCTATGGACTGGCGACACCTATCGCCAGCAGCCTATACCTACCAGTATTCTTCGGACTGCAAAAGACCAGCACTTACGAATATTTGGAACTGCGATTTGGACCAAGATTACGCATGCTCGCTTCCCTAACGTACACATTGCAGATGATATTGTACAATGGAATAGTGCTGTACGCACCAGCGATAGTGCTGGAATCAGTAACTGGGCTAGATAGGCTGGTATCGATACTAGTGGTGGGAATATCATGTACCCTGTATTCTACTTTTGGAGGAATGAAAGCGGTATTGTTCACTGATTTGCTTCAATCAGCGTTAATGTATGGAGCTGTGATCAGTGTTGTTGTGTTCAGTTCAGTCCAGCTTGGAGGTTTCGATCAGATTTTCATAAAAGCTTATGAAGGGGGCCGATTGGACTTCAACAAGTAAGTTTTACTTGCATCATAAAAGTAAGTAAATACTTGTGACTGCGAATAACCCTGTTTTTTTTTTGTGTAGGTTCAGTTTAGACCCAACAGAAAGGCACACATGGTGGAGCCTGTTGCTTGGAGGGATGGTCACATATTTGTCTTTGTATGGCGTTAACCACACACAGGTAGCTACAGCTTGACCATCCCACAGATGTTGTGGAATGAAATAATCTGTGATCACGTGAAATTTTCACAATAAACTATTGGGCATTGAGCATTACAAACCATTCCAGGTCCAACGGCTACTGACAGTCAGCACACTGAATAGATCGAAACTGTGCTTGTGGTGGAGCTGGCCAGTCATGATGCTGCTCAGTACCTTCACGTGCATTGGTGGGCTGGGCATCTACGCCGTCTATAGGGATTGCGATCCGCTGACTAACCATAAAATCACTGCGGTAAGATATTTTTTTAGTTTTTTTTGGGGCCGTCACGATGTATTGCAAATTACACCTTAAAACTAAACAGTCTGGGTACAATTTTATCAGATCGACCAGCTAATGCCGTATTACGTGGTAGACGCGATGCGCTCGGTGCCGGGACTGGCCGGGCTCTTCGTGGCGGGAATCTTCAGCGCCTCGCTGTCTACAATATCATCCGCCTGCAACTCGCTCGCTGCAGTCACGCTCACTGATTACATCAGTAGGTATAACTATTTGATATTTTTGAGCTTACATTCATACGAGTATCGCGATGCTTATCAGTTGTTACTACAAATTATCGCATTTTCAGAACCATTGCTCTCCATATTAAATAGGGTAGATCATTACCGTCACAATCCTGGTCATTGTGTTTAGAGCGTCAATCATTTGGAGCAAGTTACCCCTTTATACCAACCGGGCAACATGGAAAGCATTGGGGGAGGCCTATGTTCAGCAGTGGACGTCCTAGGCTGAGATGATGATGATGATGATGATGATGATGATGATGATGACGCCTTTATAATGTGTTACAAACACGACAGTCATATTGGGTGTTTCTACAAAAGATCAGCTCGTCCATGTCTCGAACATCGCCACTTGGTTTGCTCAGTTACTAGCTGCGGTTAATTTCTGAAGTTCATTTATCAATTCGGTTTGAAATCATCTACAAAAACAACCGTAATAATGCAATTTCGCAGATGGTGTAAGATTCGTGAGTCGTACATCATATGGCTGACGAAACTGGTGGCGTGTGGTTATGGGCTACTCTTCCTGGCATTGGCATTCTTAGCGGAACACCTGGGCGGCGTGCTACAAGCTTCTCTCATTATTTTCGGAGCAGTAGGGGGACCACTACTTGGTGTCTTTACCCTGGGCATGTTCACCACTTACGCTAACGAGAGGGTAAGCAGTTTCAGATTATTTTGTTTCATAGTACTAACAGAAAGACTCCATTTAAAAGAACAGACGAAATTCCATGATTAAAAAGATATTTCCACATTTATGAAAAATGATAAGAAATTTATGTAAGTACATATTTGGATACACGACACGTGTAGAGAGTGCACTGGTTATATGGGTAGGCTGTATATGTTATATCAGTTTAGGATATCTTTATGAGACTATAAGATATAGATTCTGTCTGTATACCTTATCACTGTGCAATAAAAATTAATAAAAAATTGCGGTAAACCAATATAATAAAGATTAAAGATGCGCTATGCGATAAAACTGAATTAATGATAATTATTATTTCATGAGTAGGTATTATTATTTAAATATTTTTCCCCGTTTCTAGGGTGTATCTATTGGGCTGCTCAGTGGCTTGGCCATGACTTTTTGGATAAGCTTCGGGACTCCTCGACCTTCACCCACCAAACTTCCTCTGAGTATCGAAGGATGTGGAAACAACATCACAGTATCCACTCCAATGGCTACAAATCCTTCGGACTATTTGTATCCTTATAGATTATCCTATATGCTGACAAGTCCGGTATGTATGAGCACTTAACCTTAGGTATTTCATACTCTTCAAATTATATCTGGTACCTATTGTTCTTCGATGTTTTTATTCCAGATTGGATTCGCATGGGTGTTGCTGATAGGCACATTGCTGTCTCTTTTGTGGAGACATAAACAGCCGTGGGAGAAAGCAGGATGCGAAGATCCTGATCCCGCACTCTTCACACCGCCCCTGGCAAGGATACTCAGGGCGAGACGTGAGAAAAAACTGTCTGCGAAATAGGTATAGTAAAGTACCTACAAACCTGAATATTTAGCTGTGGTAATAGTACCTAGTATTGCCTCTTTGGACTAATGGCTTACACTCTATATTTGTCAGGAATGTTTCACCACTTGTTGATAAAGGAGTTTCAAGGATCTCGGATTACCTACTGTTTTAACTTATATCTGTAAGATAAAGATACCAATAATCAAATCGGAAATATACTAGGATCTGGATGATACAGGCGCTATAGGTTTTTTTATTTATTTATTTTTTTTGACATTTTACACTGCGCTTCTAGTCCCAAACTAAGCAAAGCTTGTACTATGGGTACTAGACAACGGATATAAAAATGCTTAAATACTTTTTTTTTTGTAAATACATACATATTATACATAGAAAACACCCAGAGTGTTGTCATTTTCATTTGGTGGTTTTGGTTTTAGGTGGATGTGGCCAGCTCATAAAGATCTTTGGTAAAGTTCGGTTGTGTCATTGCATCAGGTATGTTGTACTTACTAATTTAATAAGATGTTTGGAAATGAATAGATTTTTCCTGTGAAAAATGGGTGTTGTACTTAGATATTATTTTTAAATGTTTACTAATCCAAAAAGAGTCAAGTTTGAGGAAAGGAAAAACAAGTTACGGGGCTATGATGCTACTCTGTGACTAAGGCAGGGGTGGTGAATATTTTAATATCGTGTCAAAAAATTGTATCGTTGTTTCTTCAAAAACTTCCGTTATTATTTTTTAATTTAATTTTTTTTCAGGGTGAACTTACGAAATTAAATGAAATTGAAGAAATGTAAACTACGTATCTCGTAGCTTTTAGAAATTGTTAATTTTATATTAAAAATAGAAATATCTTTTAGAAATGGTGTTTTATTTAAGATTGAAACTTAGATTAAGATCTTATTCTGTTAGCGCTTAATTAATCATTTAAAACTAAGAACTAGGGATAAAAAAATCATATTAGTTATGCAGACAGAAATCCAGCTTTGTGCCTGGTAAGTTCATCTAACTGGCGACGTAGATAGGCATTCTGAAAAGTAAAAGTCATAATGATGACTTAAATTGAAGACAAAAACCACCTATTATGGCCAATCGAAATTTCAAGTACATTAAAAAATAATTAGACAGCTAAGGATATCCCACCTCTCTCAGCAACTCGTCTTCCCTCTCCGCTGCAATTTTCAGCATCTCCTTAGACCTCTCTAGAAGCAAGTCTTTGTCTTGCAGACTCCTTTTGAGGTTCGCTATCTCTATGCGGTGCGACTCTACTTGTTTTCGACTCTGAAACAAACGTATACATGATGAAGGACCGTTTCTTTCACTCATTATAATAAAACTCTACACATTCGTACGCAGAACTGACGGCCGATGGGGCAGCAAGGTTCTGGAATGGAGGCCGCGTACCGGAAAACGCAGCGTGGGACGTCCACCCACAAGGTGGACCGATGACACCATAAAGGTAGCAGGGAAGCGCTAGACGCTGGCAGCTACCAATCGATCAACATGGAAAGCATTGGGGGAGGCCTATGTTCAGCAGTGGACGTCCTATGGCTGAAATGATGATGACGATGATACACAGTCGTGTTTACATCATATATCAATTTTTGAAGACTTCTTGTGGTAGTCATAGAGATATAATTTAGAAAATAGATGTATCATTATTGATGTTAAGAATAAAGTTTAGGCAATACTGTAAATGTGCTGGATTTTCCTGAAAACTGACTCATACCACTACTGACTGGCATTTCAGCAAAGATACACAGACGGCAAGACAGTTTGTTAGAGTGCTATAAATGTTTACCTTTTCTGTGACACTTGCATTGCTCTTTCCACTGCTCGGCCTTGAGTCTGTGCGTTTTTGAGTACCAGACCTCTGCTCCGCTTGCAGTTTACTGACAAGTCCTGAAAAAAATAAGAAATGGTCGACTGTACATCTTCGAATAGGCTACCATTAAGTATACTTACACAAAGACATTGAACTACAGTACACATGGTAGGATATGAGGTATGCAGGGGATGGCACAACCTATTTTGACAAAACATTTACCTCCGTAGTTAGTAAGATCAATGTTTCTTACCTCTTAGAGTAAGCACGGTTTGCTCCAAATCGTTCACGCGGTGATGGTTGGCGGTCGTCGGAGATGTCTCTAGAGCGTTTACTCGCATATTGAGTTGTACATTCTCTTCTTTCAGCATTTCGCAGTAACTGAATAAACAATAAACGATTTTTTGTGGGTACAGACATCACATCATGAGGTGGCGGTGAGGGTAAACAAATCCTAAGGAGTTGTAATAGGGGTGAGATTGCTATAAAAACGTCTAATGAGCTGCTTACTGTATCAAAGCAGGTTTATCTAAGGCTAGCATGTCGTTACGAAACAAAAAAAGCAGAGTACCTTTTCCAATAGTCGACCTCTGGCTGAGCATCGTGTGTTGACTGGAGGGGAGTTCGAATCTGCGACTCTAGCAGTGTCGATTCAAGTTTCAGTACCTGCCCCTTCAAGGATGTTATTTCAGCCAGTGATCTTTCATACTCTGATACTAGAAGTTCATTTCCCTGAAAATTATGAAAACGTCAAATACATAAAATGACTTGCACACCACGTGTGATCCGACTATGCCTTTGAGTACCTATCTTCCTTCAGAAATAGCTGTGTAGCAGTGTGGCAAATTTAAGGACTGGCAAAACACGTTTCGGACAAAGGATGAGATTTTTCAAAACAAAAAAGGTATGATCTAACCTTTTCTGCGACCTCAAGTGCCGCAATGCGCCGTTGCTGCGCTTGGACTCGGTCAAGAAGCGCGCGCGCAGACACGGGAGGCGGTGACTGCATGCTGTCTCGCTCGCTCTGACGGTAAGATTTCTCTAGTGCCTCACTGTCTTGCTTCTCTATAGACAGTTGCTTTTCATCTGGAAACACGATAGATAGAGAAATTCCTGAACCTTGTATAGTACTGAAAAGATCAATATTGATTCAATAGAGACAGGGCCGGATTAACCATCTCGGGGTCTAGGCACAGCTCGTTTCGCCCCCCCCCCCCCCTTTTTCATACCACAACAAAGCAATTTGGAAATTTTACTGTCTACATTACGAAATTGAATAAAGGTAGCTAACATCATTATCGCAAAGGTATACGCCTTCCTTCAAGTGAAAAGACGTTCGCCACAATTCTACAGGACGAAGTATCGGAGTCATTTAAAAATGAAACAAAGAATCCCACCAAAAACATTCTGTAAAAAACTAGCCAAGTCTCGATGGAGCTGCTTGTTTATCTCTAAAAAGTAATGAAATCTAGACAAAGTCGTGCCAAGTCTATTTGCACGAGCACCTGGTTTTGTCACCCTTCAACGGCCAAGTCACACAACATTAACTATAATAATAAAATATTAAACACAAATAAACTTAACGACCTTTAAAATGGACAACGAATCAGAATTGTTTTAATAACATAACCTAACCTATAATAAACGAAATCAACGAAATGCAAATTACACAACATTCAACTTAATCGACGACTTTCTCTAGAAAGAATAAAAATCTGGACACCGCTTGCTAGTGCTAGCGCCATCTAGCGGTGAGCGATACAGGCGAACACCACGGTATGGGAGTAGTATTGATTATGAATGTGGTTACTCCAGATCTACGTTTTTCCTAGTTTTTATAGTTTTCCCTTCATGTGGCCATTAAACCCTAACTCTGTACCAAATTTCAGCTCTCCGAGTTAATGGGAAGTACTAGTTCTATTTTGATGATCATCAGTGAGTGAGTGAGTGTCGTAAATGCGAAACTTTGCTTTCGCTTAACTTCGGAACTAAATGACCTACAGACTTGAAATTTTGGATTTAAAGTATGTGATTATAGCTTACTAAATGACGAAAATTTCTGCGTTCTGGTCTTATCCAGAGGTTCTCAAATAGGGGCCTGAAAATGCGGCGAAATGGTTCGAGTAAAGGATGGTACGGCAGTGTTTGCTTCGCGCTCGACTTGGCGGGGGCACTGCCGTGCCCCCAGATAGGAAAATCTTGCATATTTTTATAAAACTAACATAAACATTAAAAAATAAAAATTTACAGTATTGTACTGATTAAGAAGCATGTTTAAATATTAACCCTTCTATTTTTTTTGGATACAAAATCATTTAAAACTTCTTGAAAATTGACCTTTTTTCATAAATCATCTTTAACATGTTTTTTTTTTCATTTTTTCTCGGGAGTGCTGTTCCCCTGGTCATAGTGGGCCCCTAGGCACTGGCCTAAAGTGCCTTATGGATAATACGGCACTGAATAGAGGTATTTGTCATCGTTGACTCTACATAAAGAAAGTGTTAGGAAATGTATAAAATCTTCTTTTACTTACGTTTCACTTCAGTAAGCCTCGAAAGCAGTAAACGTTTCTCCTTCTCCAGCCTGGCAACAGCTGACTTTGCTAGATTAAGACTACCTTCCAACTTTTTGACTTCTTGACATTTTTCCTCGTAGCGTGCTTGCCAACGTTCAGATGTTTGTTGCGCTCTATGAAATAATGATGTAGGTAGATAAATTCCTAACAAATGAAAGGAACCAAAGGAATTTATCTCGAAAAAAAGCGTACCTCTTCCACTTATCCCATAAAGCAATAGAAGAACTTGAGTCCCGTCTCGCGCTGGTGAGTTGAGCTTGGAGAGAAGCAATTTTACTTTGGAGAGCTGCTGACTCGGCAGTCACTGCCTTGCTACCAGATGTGCTTCTGTAAATGAATTACAAAATCCATTAGAATCCCGATAAGGACTTTCTAATTACAACGAGAACAGCAGCTTACCATAAAGCTATGGATGATGAAGTATAATAATAAAAATAAACTTTTTTAAAAACAAGCTTTTATTCTGAATTTCGAAAGTAGAATTAAAATACTCATCAATACAAAACGAACGAGCCCAAACTCGATGCATTTAAGTTGTTTTATTATAGAGTTCCTATGGCCACCTCCCGCTCCATCATCAGACCAGCTCAATGGTACCATAATATTGCATTGTCATCGGACTTACACATGTATGCAAAATTTCAGCTCAATAGGAAACCGGGAAGTGGGTCAATTTTAAGTTGCAAGATTTGACGACAGACACCAGACATGTGAAAGTAATAAAAAGCTTGTATAAAGTGTAAAAAGGGATAAGACCATAACACAAACGAAGCAATAAATTCGACAAGTTTGTTACCAGATGCAGCTCTTTATGAATAAATTCTCACATTCTAAACACTTGATTCTTCAAGTTCTGTGCGTCGAGCCGAGCGCGTCTCTCTCGGGCTGCTAAAGCCTTTATCTGTCTCCGGAGTATAGCGTTCTGTTTGCTCGTAAACTGCTTTTCTTGTCGAAGTCTTTCTATTACTGGTTCTTGCCTAAAATAACAGATTATCTTTAATACTCTGAACGCAAAGATTTTGATATTCCGACAAATCTATTCCAATAAACTTGTCCTTGAAATCATTTTCATCATACCAAATTGCTGTAGACGAGGCAGGCATCCGTATAACATCATCCATTTCGCGTAAGTCAATAGTGGAGTCAAATCTTAATTCCAATCTTTCAGAGCCATGGTGCGAGATCATGTCACTACTTTCATCAACCTCCACGATAGCGGAAAGGTCAAAGCTGGGATCATTTACAGATATCATACTTTGCATACTTATGATTTGCGTCTAAAACAAATTATTTACTGACTTTATAGAACGTTGTGAAAATATTTACCAAAGAACATGAGAAGTAAAATCACCGTGTACAAAAATTCACCTTCAAATTGTGAACTGCCGAGCGAAGTTGTTCTATTATGGAATCTTTATCAGAAAGTTGTTTGACGTAAGAAGCCTTCTGTTCCGTTAATCTTGAACGCAACTCTAAATGTTCACGTTGAGTTTCGTTCAATTGCGACAGCCAGTGCTGATTTTCTGCTTTGTAAGACTCTACCTAAAATTAAATAGTTAACTTATTAGATTACTTTAATGAAATGGATAGAATAGGCAGTGTTTACAAACCTCGTGACTATGGCGTTCTTCTAGTTGCGAGTTGAGTTGTTCCATTTTGGCCAGTCTCTCGTTAGCTAAATCCTTCCACCGATCCAATTCACTTTGATACGTCACCCTACAAAAGTAAATTCACTATATTGCCGTGGCTTTATAAATCACACTCAAGTAAAAGTCCACTAACAATTCCGTTCTGCGACTCTCCAGTTCACTTTGCGCTTTGAAACACTTATCTTCAAGAATCGCAATTTTTCTCGTATACTTGCTGATGACTTCCTTCACGGCTTCTGCGTTGGATGAGTTAGTAGCACTATCCTTTCTGTAATAAATACGTTAATAGCTTATTATGTAAACGATGACACCGTTATCTATGAAGCGTGGTGATTGATCTAGTGGTGACATAGTCATTTCAGAAACGTTTATGAACTTGTTACAAACACATAAAATAATAACAAATCACATCTGAAGTCAAACAAGTCCGAAATTGTGGGTGCACAATGCACAAAGTAGTAGGGATGCTCACGAAAGCTGAATTTTCTTTCATGTTCTTATTTCCTTTGTGGGATAAACATTTTAATTTATTTGTTACCTATCTAGTTTATGTTGCAGTTCTAATATTTTGGTATTTAACTCTTTCATAGATTTTGAATACTCATTTCTTTCAATTTGCAGCAATTCTTGGTATTCGGACACAATACTATCTTTGTCGCTCTCCAATTGCTTAATGGCATGTAATAACGATTTATTTTCTTCGTTTGCTGCATCTCTTAATTTATTACGCTGTGCCACTTGGACAGATCTAAAATCGTCATTCTGTCGTTTTAATTCTTCAATCGTCGCGCGAAGTCTTTCATTTGACAAATCTTTCTGGTGGTTGGACGCAATAAGATTTTCAATTTTACTTTTCATACTGATTTGCTCAGCATGAATTTTATTTATGTCATCAATATGTCGATTAGCCAAGGCAATTGCATCGTTAAGCTCCTTTTTAAGTTTATCATTTTCTGTTTTAAGACTAGCATTTTTTTTCTTTAAATCGGCATTTTCTTGGTCTCTTTCTGTTTGTATTAATTTAGCTTCTTTCTGGACTACCGAATTTTCTGTTTGTATAGAGATGTTGGTTTTTACAACTTTTTGGTTTGCTTCATTTACACTTGATTTCCCGGGTTTTGCCTCCATTTTATTGTCGGTGACATGATTTTTTCCATTTGGAATTTGATTTGGTTTTAATACTTGCGGTTTTTCTAAAGTGATTGTTTGACTTTCTGTAAAAAGAAAAATATTATTTGTAAAAATAGTCACTAAGATCAGAATTGTTCAGTTGTGAAACATACTTCTGCCACTTGATTCTTCATCTGAATGAATATCTTCTACTTTCAAGTTAGGGTCATCTTCTTTGTCGATGTTTCTGGTAACTATATTGGATTTTTCGAAACCCTGATTTACAAGAACTAAGGTGTTTTCCAGTTCGTTACAATATTTCAATAGTTCTTCTCGAGACTGTTCTAATATTTGAAGCTTTTTGTCATTATGTTTTTCCTCTCGAGAATGTATTCCTTCCTGAAATGATTAGTGATGACATCAAATTCTAGACATTAAAAAAAAAACAAATAATGGAACTAAATACGATACCATGACCATATTTTTCAACTTATGAGGACAACCATCTTCCTCTTCAATGCATTTATTTTTCGAAAGATCCAATACTTGTTCAAAAACAGAATGTTTTGTCATCAAACTGATCTGAAGTTCTTCAATATCTTGTAGTTTTTCATCGGCTGCGCGTGATTTTCGTCGGAGATCTTCTTTCTTGTTGAGGTAGTTTTCAATTGACGTGATTGGTAAACCCCCATGATATTGTTGTCTAAGAGCTTGCATTACTTCATAAATATACCTTAAAATATGTGTTGAAATCGTTAAGAAGAGTAAAATAAATAATGGAAAGTGCAATAGTCTGATCTCTTACACACCTGAATTTAGATTCATATCTCAGTGCATAGATGTCGAAAACCTTTTGCCGTGCTATTAGCATTTCTTCAGCTTCGACTCTAGCTTGTTTCTCTTTGTTCAACGATGCACTCAATCTATCTATCTTCTTATGGCTTTCCGATGCTTGTAAATGTGCTACTAATACTTCTCCGCTTAGCCTGTGAAATAATTTATTATAAAACTATCCTGTGCCACATCATTAATTATCGTAATGCTTAATTCATTAACAGTAATATCAAGGACTTTTCAAGACACAAGCTTAGCATCATATAAGTTTATAATAAAATAAATAAAATACTTACCTTGCAATGATAGCTTTGTTATCACCAACAGCTTGTAAATCCAATATCTGGTGCCTCAGCATATTGATTTCCATATCATTACTCATTTGCCTTTGTTGACTATCTTGTAACTAAAATGATTGTCCCATTAAATATACTGCATATTACAAGGAGCAGTCATAAAAAAAAAAACATTATTTTTATTTACCTGTAGTAACGCAATATCGAGTTGACTTCCTATGTGTTGGCATTGTTCCTTCAGGATTGTATTCTCATCAACTAGTTTTTTCAATTGTGTCTTCGTGAGATCTATTTCCTCTTTTGTCGACGATGCCAAATTATCATCTCTGGAAACAATCAATTATCAACAATCGGTCTGATCATCATTATACAGGCCAAGAGCTTCCTCGTTATGGAAAAAAAAAACAAATTAAGTTAACGAAACTTATTCTTTAGTGTGTAAGAAAAAGCTTGCTAAATATTAGCATTGTATTCAATCTTACATTAATTTCGCTTGTCTTTCTTGTAATTCAATATTTTTCGATTCCAATAATCTGATTTCCTTTTCTTTCCTTTCGAGTTCAGTGCACATTGCTTCCAATTGTTTCTTTGTTATTGTTTGTTCTGCGCCACTTAGTATGCTTTTCACTTTCTGTTCATCACCTTTGTCTATGAACATACATTCATTATTTTAACCAAAATCATACAAATTTACCTAAAGACCACAGTAAAGAACCAATACGTACTTTCACTACATTGTAAATCATTTCTGATGAAGTTAATCATATCCATTTTCTGATCATTTAGATACTTGAAGAAATCGAGTGTTTCTTCTCTCTGCATGTTTTCTTCTAACACTTTTCGGAGGTTTGTCATAGATTGATTTAAAGCTGCATTTTGATTCCAAAAAAGATCTATAGATATTGAACTTCGCAGTTTATCAAATAGGTTTGCTATTATAAGCATAAGACTTTGAATTTGAGTTTCGTAATCAAGTGTCATATGCATTGATTCCTTTTTACTTTCTAATATTTCATTCTTCATATTTTCATTGATAGTTCTGATGTATTTATAGGACTCTTCTAAGTATGAACACTTTCTTTCCAAGGAACTTGAATGGTGTATCGGAATAAGTCCAGGGGAGTCTTCACTTATATCTTCTTCTTCGTGTTGAGATATTTGAGCCCTTAAATTTTCGATTTGTGCTTTATAATGTTCTTCTTGAATTGACCACTTATTTTGTTGGTCAGCTGTCTGTACAACTATCGATGTCATCTTTTCAAACAAAGTTTTAAACTTCTCGTGAAAGTAACCTAGACCACGTTTTAAGTAATCTTCATACGAAGCATTTCGTTGTGAGATATAGCTTTCTATTTGATCTTTATTTTTGAAATCAATTTTACTATCCTCCTCAAAAGACATCCACGATCCAAATTCACCAAGTGTAATTCTCGTTGGTACTTCTACTTTCTGTGTTTCATTGCTTGTGTCATGTCTTTCTGACTTCTGTTGTTCCGATTTAATTTCTTCTAATTGGTGTTCTAACTCTTTAGATTTTTGAGTCTCTTTGGAAAGTTGGGCCATAACATCGAATGTTTCTTTCCTACAAAGTAGATTAAACAGTTATCATTGACAACTAACTATAAATAGTAAGGAACTGAACATGAAATTTTGAGATCGTACTGCACCTAGCTTCATGTAATGCACTGAGAAGTGCATCTCTACCACCCAAAGCCGCTCGTAGTTCCATGACCGTAGCCATATGAGGAGCGAACCAACCAGCAGCATGACGTGCTTCCATTGATTGTAATATCGCATCCAAACTAGGACACTCTAAAGATAAGATTCCTGAAGATGTGGTACCTGAAATTATTAGCATAGTAGATCCCCATGTAACTAATATACGAGTACTACGTTTAGATATTTAAATATTTATTTTATATGTTCTACTTTTTTGCGGACGGCTTTCAACTAGATTAATATAAAAATAAATTCGAGAAAACTTATCGTAAATGAAAATAAATATTAAGGAAAGTCGGGTACTAACTATTATCTTTTAAGAAATTCAAAATTTCTTGGAGGCCTTTCCTGAGTCCTTCATTTTCGTCTGCTATTACTTGCATTTCTGCTCCACAATTGCAGTCTTTCTTTGAATCTTTTTGTGGGCTACCTTCACCATTTACCCTACAAAATCAATCAAAATGAAGTGTTTGGAATGTAAAATTATTTACAATGATGAACTGAGTAATTTCCTTACCCATCATTATCAGTATCATTGTAATATTCACTTTCTTGAATTATCTTATCAATTTCTTCTTTTGCACATCCTACTTCAGACAACATATCGATGAACTTATTACATTTTGTTTTTAGAACTCGATTATCCAACTCCACCTGGGTAAGTTTATCTTCAGTCTTTTTTAGATATTTGCACATTTTATTATACTTTTCTTCTGTTTCATAAACTTTTTTTAGAATCCCCTTTGTTGGAACTTTTTCCCCGATTGGTATATTGAGTTTTCGTCTAAAACATGTTTAAGTCAGTTTTGTTAGATAATCAATAATTTGATTCGCTATAGTTACCAGCTCACGAAGCACCCAATATTACCTATAGCCTATAGCCAATATCTAGTTACCTGAAAGTTTCATTTTCTAGTTGCAATTCATCTACTAGTTGATTTAAAGTGTTCACATCTTGAACCAACGACTTGATTCCTTCATCTTTCAGTTTTAGCTGACGTTTCTTATTTTTGAGTCCGTCTAGTAATGACTTGATACCTTCATCAGACTGGACTAGTTGCAGTTCAGAGGTGATATCTGCTAGCTAAGATACAAAATTATAATTATATTTCAATGTTGGTAATTAATTTCCTGTTAAAGTTTAATTTGCAATATCTTACCTCTTTATCTCTAACAACGATCATTTCTTCAGCTTCTTGCAAAGCTACAGTCAATGATTTAACCTTCTTTTTTAATTTTATTATCAAACTTCTTTCTTTATTATCATCACATTCATTTTTAGTTTCGGATACAGCTGACTCAACAGTGTCTTCGATCAGTGACTTCATTTGTTGATTTTCTATTTTTAATTTTTCAATCAAATCGGCGGAATTCTCTATTTGCTTCGATGCTTCAGATAATTTAAGTTGCAATTCTTTAATTTTGCGCTCTTCTGCATCTCTCTGTCGGGACTAAAATTCACAATTTAATAAGACGATCTCACAAACTAAAACAATTTATGGAATCATTATTACCTTTGGCGGTGAAGAAGGTTGTATTGTGCGACTTAGATTCTCTTTTAATTGGTTGTTTTCGTTAGACAATGCTTCGACTTCGGCTTTCTTAGATCGAGCTACATTCTGAGAAGAAGACGTTATTTATTGACCAATAAATAAAAGTGACAACAAACTTAACTTTTATTTTACAGACCTTCCAATGTTGCGCTTTAGATTTTATTTCATTATAAATGCTATCTTTGTTAGAATCTTTATCAATCAACTCTTTTCTGAGCGACTCGATTTCCATGGATAAGAGACTTTTAGATTCTTCGGATTTACCTAACATTTCTGTAAGAAAAAGGTTACGGAAATAAAATAACAGAATATAAAATTCTTGGCAGGGAGAAAATAGGCCAAATGAAATGTAAATAATGGGCAGTCTGGGATGTGAGAATTTGTATTCGTTACAATAGTAAAACATACCTACATAATCTAAATTAGATTTGAACGTCACTAATACGGTCACCCAGTAAACAATTAACCTTCAATGAATTTAAAAATACCAGTCTAATAGTCTTTAGTGTGGAAAAAATAGAAAGATATTAGGAATAATGTGGTACAAACCTTTTAACTGTAAAGATTCATTATTTAGGGCGGTTAACTGTTCAGTTAAATTTTCTATAAGATTTGTAGCTTCAGTCAGTTTATCTTTCACAACTGAGAGCTTTTCCTTGAGTTTGGTGTTTTCTTCTTCTAAAACCTGTGGAAATCAGTCGTAAATCATAAGTTAGCTAAAGTTACTAACGGTACTCTTTCACGCTAAAACTACTAAATGGATTTTTATAGGTATCGCATAGCTTAAAATTTAAATTCACATTTCAAAGCCTAGCAAAAAAAAAAATAGTTGATCTTTCTTACTTTGACATCACTGAGCAATTTTCTGATGTGCCTATTCTTCATAGTTATATCGTTTTCAAGTTGAGCAACCTCGTTTATCTCTGATAGAACATCTCGACTTGATTCACTGTCTTTATCAACGTTGTCTCTATCGTCTTCCAATTTACTTTTCTTTCCTTCTAATTCGGCGATGTCAGCGTATAATTGTTCGAGTATTTCTTTATTAGCTTTGATTACTTCTTCTTGATTAGCAATAGTTTCCATGATACTGTCAGAACCTTTGCTTGGGGATTCTGTAGGGATTGCATAAAAATGTATTGTATTAGTGTGAATTAAAGTTCTAACTACGATTGTATTATTCTTACGGGTCTTTATGAATTTTACGGAATGCCAACTCGACTTATGACAATATCAAACCGTGAGTCGATTTTTAAACCGCCTTCTAGATCTAATAGAACGTAAGCTTCTTACTGGAAACGTATAAATTAAAATTAAAATTCTCACCGGCATATGACCCCTTTGTTCTTGATTTACCGCCTTTTCTTTGGACAGTTTCCAGTTGTCCATGCAGATTGTTTACCTGAGTACGTGGTATTAATTTTTAATTTCGACTTTGCTTACAATAAATCAGATTATAAATATTACCTGGGAACCTGGTAGGTAGGCTATGTGTAGGCAGGGCTAATAACAATAGCTTTTATTCTTAAAATTCTGAGAAAATTTGGGGGACCGAAAGAATTGGACGAGTAGGTACCTACTTACCTGTTCACTTTTGTATTTTAAAATATCTTGAGCCAGTCGAAATAGCGTTTTCAAGTCTGAAAAGTTTAATTCAATATCGTCTGCTTCCATCCAAGACAAGCTCTCGCACAGTTTTTCCTTATCGGCCTGCATGAGTTCTCGTTGTGAGAAACTTAGAATTTCTCTCCAGTCCGTTTCTGCCATTTTCTGTACCTTTATTTACACAGTACTTTGTATAAAATAATGTTTTTTACACAGTAGAGTGTTTTGTATGCAGTGTCGTCGAATCACGTCGAATATGACATGAGTCACTCGCTTCGTATTGTTTGTAATGTATGGTTGCGTAGCAACCAGACAACGCAATCTTGACCGCATATTGGCTGCATTGCTGCATGCCACAATAAATACCAACCAAACATATTGTGGCCCAGTACCTACTCAGAGTGTGGACTTGCGAAATAAATACAGGATGTTCGAAAAAAAATTGTGGCTGGAATGAAACTTAAGTTACATCTATTCTTGAGTGTAGATTGACTTAATATGGGCTTTCTAGTCACACATACGTATTCCTATCTGAAACTATTCTATTTAAAATTAGAAATTCAGGGTGTAATTTCAAACAGGTCAAGTAATAAAAGTCGTTTTAAATAGAAAGATTATTTTATTAGGTGTGATGATTTTGAACAATAGCAGTTAATGTTATCGTATGTCGAGGTGTCAACAACAAAATAAAACATTTGTGCTTCTTATTAAAAATAAATTAACAAAAGTAAATACAACAATACAATGGGTTAAAAAATAATGAAAGCTTCTGCCTACTACACAAATCAAGCTTAAAATAGGGCGAGGGGATACCTATCTCTTTGAGAAATAATAAACAACTATTACAACATTTTATACCAAGCCAATGCATGCCTAAAAATCCAACTATACCCTAATAAACAGCTACACATTGTATATAAATGTATAATGTAAGATTGTATAAATTATAGTCATCGTAATGAAATAGGGCATTGTATACAACAATGTAAAAATGTACAAAATTTGATTCATGACTAGATTACAATAAAACATTTTTGCATCTATGCGGCTTTATCTGGAAGATAACGATTTATTTAGAAAATTTCAGGGATTAGGGTAACATTAATAAACTGAATTTTACATCTAAAAAGGATAATTAAAATTTTTTGTTTGATTTCAGTTGATATGATACATATAAAATATGTTCTGGATACATTTAAGTTTAGCAATATAAATACTCAGTATCATCCAGTAATACCGCTACGGTTTTTTTGCCAGATATCTCGAGAAGCTACGATACAATGACGTCAGATTACATATCACTCATATATTTACCATCCACCTAATTTTAAATTAAGCATACAGTAATGTATTGTCAACGGTTGCCGAAATAACTCGCCCTATATACAAAATCGCATAGTCGCCTGAGTATTACAATATTACACGATTAAATAGCTATGTTAATGTGGTAACTAATACTTATACTCGGTAAACATTATCAGTTTTACTGTAGTAATGCGGAATAATAAAAAGTGCCGAAGGATTTATGCAAGAATGAGACACGGTAGCATGCTGTATAAGTAGATATAGTATGCGTAAAAATGGCAGAGAAATACACTTCTTTATAAAACTAGGATTAAATATGACTACTTCATACACTTTTTATTATTCGGTGGTAATAGCCGATCGATACAAATAGTCTAAACTTTGTTACCGTCCAATATTTCAAGTGTTAAAATTCAAAGTTTGACCTTTGCTTCAAGATATAAATCGTTAATCATAAGAATTAGTAATCCACGTGAACTACGCTCTTTTAAAATCAACTTTTAAAAGACGAGCCCTATACTCCATTCATACGTTTAAATAAATAACTATGCTAAACAATTGTACAGGTATATAAGTATTTTTATTATTTTTTATACAATTATACAACATCATAATAATTATTAACCGATAAAGATACTCTTTGGGAGGCGTAAAACAACTTTGGATTGATTATACTGACATTGGGTCTGGTTAGCTTTCGCCAAGTAAAGTTGAAGCGGTAAATGTGATTATAAATTAAATATTCGAATACACGTCCTATATAATGTGAACTTTGGGGTTACAGGTTAAAAAGTGACGATGTTAATAACACAACTGGGATTTTTTATTCTGTACACAATTCTAAAGTCATGGTATAGTTTTGGTATCATAAGGTTTACTTTAGGCCGTCTGATTCGCCTCGACTGTACAGTACAACTAATTTTGATATGAATCTGAAGTACCATACAAGTGCAGGCTGAACAAAAAGACGTTTTACGGCATGCCTGTGAAATTGAGTAGCTGACACCATTAACCAAAATCTTTGACATCAATAAATAGTTGGTCTATAGATTTAGCGAAAAAGTGACGTCATAGTTTTATGCTATACTTACTTAATTTGTGGCAGAAACACGTTTGACAGTTCATAACCACTGACCAATGGTATCAACTACCCCATTTGTGTGCGCAAGTCCCAAGTATTCTAACTGCGATTCATCGCTCCGTATTCGCTCTCAAATCGTTGTATTTGCTGCCTCGTTAGTGACGTTTGAGAGCGATATCGGAGCGATCGCGTGACGTCATGAGAGCGATCGCGTTGCGTACGCGTGACGTCATCAACGCGTGCGGCGCGCGCAGAGCGTGGCGCGGCGGAGGCGGCGCAGCAGCGACCACTCCCGCTATCAGATGCGCTCCACGTAGTTGCCTGATATAAAATTAAAAGTAAATAATTATTGATTGTTGATACCTTCGTCCTTGGAAGTATCCAAGTGGGTCTAGACAAAGTGCATGTTATAATCGCAAACCTGTCGAAAAGTGGTCGAAAAGCCTTTTTTTGTATGGAGTTTTGACGGATTTGATTTTCGATTCGATCAAAAAGTGCATTTTGTCTAAACCCAGTGGTATATACCGTATATACCTTTGGATTGTATGGATTTACTAGTATCTACCAGTGAAGCCAAAAGATCCAGTCAAGCGATCTGCGGCGGGAGCCGCCGCACGTCACGAAGCTCTAAAGTGATCCGCGGCGGCTCCCGCCGCAAATCACTTGTCCAAGTTCGGGACCTTGTCATTTAAAAAATATAGTTCTATTCCTTTCGCACGAAAGTAATAATGCTTAAATATGAATGTGATAGCAATATTTTCTAGGCACTATGGTTGCTTTTCAAACAAAATTTTTCTCAGTCTGTGTTTGAAGAAGACGCGCTCCGCGGCGCCCGTCTGGGTAGTGATAAAGATGGATGTTTTTTGTCGTTTAGATGCTTTGGAAGTGTGTTTTTCTTTATAAAAAACGTGTATAATGTGATTAACTTTGGAAATAAGTGTTAATAATATAACATTACTTTTATTTTTGAAGGTGAATCAAGTGCAATCACAAAAAGTGACAAAAATGACAAATCTTTTTCTTTCAAGTAAATTTTGTACCTAAAATATAATTTGTTAGCCTTAAAAGTTACACCACAAGATGGGGAATATTATCCAGATTCCAAAAATATGAATCGATAGTATCTAACGGTAATAATGATAAGCTATTTTAGGGAAAATGCGCATAGGTATTTTTTTCCCGCGGAAAGGGGGGGGGGGGGTCGCGGGCACTTCACGCATTAGCGCCCTCCCGGGGCGTTAGCGTTGAAAGGAGATACAGTTACTGTTTTAAAATTGAACACTCCTATTTAGCTTAACTGACATTAGGTTCTTGCTTTTTTACGCTTTAGCTAATAAAGTATCTTCCTCATTCTTACCAAACAAAATTATAAAAATTTTCAATTGTTTTTCTTAATTTTTTTGAGCAGACAAGTCTCTCTATACCGCTAAGTTTTTTAACTAATACATCCCGTCCTGGCGGCCCCTGTGGTATAGTAGCCCATGGGCCCTCTATCATTGATACGGCTGATATGGCTGTAGCTTTTGTGCAAGTAATACACTCGACAGCAAATAAATCGCACCTCGCGCGACAAGCACTTTCAAACGTATGCATCCCTACTTGCCACCAATATTGGCACCATTTAAAAGCTTAGTTCTAAACTTCATTTCATTAAAGGAAAGGTTTTTACCCCAAAAATGTGTCTTTAGAAGGATCCAGAATAACTTCTTCAAAAAATAGGTAGTTACGCTTGAGCCAACTTTTATGGCTATAAAACTGTTAAGTTGGGATTAATCGCTATCCATCTGTTAAAAAGGACACGTGAGATCATTATTTGGTTTTATAACCATAAAAATTGGTCTAATTGATCCTAGAGGTGAGCCCAAAGTGAGGTGTTTTTTCAAGTCACATTTATGGTATATATTAATCATTTATTAAGAAATTAATTATGTGTTTTTCGTTAAGGATATTTATTGGGCTTTCAAATAACACCAATATTGTTAGGGCACCATGATTGTGTCAAAAGAAAATCTTTAAAGTTCGCATCGCGGAAGGTGCGATTTATTTGATGTTGAGTGTATTTAGCTCGTTGAGTGCTCCAAAGGGGCTTCAACAAAGAATGTTTTGATTACCTGGGAAGGTGCCGAACCGGCCGGTGCGCTGGCTGGAGCCGACGTACCAGCCGTCGTCGCACTTCTCCAGCACGTACACCGTGTCGCCTTCGTTCAGCTCCAGCTCGTCGGGGTTCTGTGGCCTGTACTTGTACATGGCTCGGTACCTTTAACGAAAGATAATTTATATAAAATTATATTTTCAATCTGCCATAAAATTATTTCTAGAAATTTAATCAAAAAACTGTAATCAGAGTTTGGGTTAGAACACGATCTTCATCAGATAGTTAATCAGAAGACCGTCGTGTGGATTTCATCATTTTACAGTATTGGTGCACGATACTCGATCTCCGATATAGTAAAGTAAAGTAAAAGTAAAAAGTAAAAATGTATTTATTACTAAAAGATGTCACATTGTACAAATTATTCTGGCAGTCTCTGCACTAAGCAGGAAAGCTTTTATCGCAGCGGCCAATACGAACAATTACCTTATAAATAATTACATCGGTCTTATGATGCATCATTCGAAATTTTTAAAGTGAAACACGGGTTATTCTTTCAGACTGATATTCCAGTGGCGGGCTTACACATTCGCCTTTCATTCCAGTGGCTCCCTCTAAAATCTTCCGCCATGGCTCGGGTCTAGTGGCTACCAGGGTAACACTGGTATATTCCACAATATGTCTCACTTATCCCTAACTACTTATCCCTAGTTCACCTGCAGCTTATCGTGTATTTTTATGTCATGTACAGTCACGGAATGAAAAGGTTCGTCAGTTTTCAAATTGATTCCTGCAACGAATCGCGAGCACATACCTATTACCTTTTGAAACTATGTTACAGAATAATCTCGAGTTAGAGAAAATAATCTTTAACTGTTCCTTTGTAAAGTTCAAAATTATTCAGATCGAAGTTGTTTGTCGATTTATCTTGTCAAGAAGATTATTATGATTGATAAACTAAAACCTTCTTGTTGGTTCAACCTGCCAGTATTATTTCTATAAAAAAAAACTACATTTTGTAACATTGCACTGATGGGATAGAAAAATAAACAAGCAAAACCTTGATCGTTAGCAAACGTCATATTTATTGAAATGTTAGCAGCACTGTTTCTTGCACTGTTATGTTGGCAGGTTTGACTCTTACAGTACCTAGTGCAAGCGAAAACCGACACTAAGGTGACGAACCTTTTCATTCCGCGACTGTACTTGTGACTTGTATATTTAATGTTCACTTACGGAACGGCCTCAGCATTGGTGTCGACATACAGCGGCTCGGTGTTGTTGAGGTCTACGCCAGCGCCAGTTGGCGGTCCGTAGCCGCGCTCCGCTGGCGTCAGCGTCGCTTGCGCAGGCTTCGCTGCGTAACCTGGAGAAACAATCAACATTAGACATTATTTCGGTTGCAAAAGGTTCAAAATGGAAATATTATAATTCAAGATTAAGCGAACCACAATCTTCTTTACTACGTAACCTGGAGAAATAGTCAACATGTAGGCCTTATTTCGGTTGCAAAAGGTTCAAAATGGAAATATTATAATTCAAGATTAAGCGAACCACCATCTTCTTTGCTACGTAACCTGGATAAAGAGTCGACATGAAAACTTTATTCTAGTAGCTAATGGATTGAAAAGGTAGAGCTGACATGAATGGCAATGGCTGTGTGGTAGAAGGCGCATAGCCCAGGGCGGGAAAATTTGGCTGCGATATGTAGCTGTGGGTATCCATACTTATTTTCACTGTCTAATTAAGTCCCACGCCACCAGGTCCACCAGTGGCTGTATTATCAATTATGCTATGCTATAACTGACCTGGCAGTTGCTGTATTATGCTATGATAACTGATCTGGCAGTAGCCGTGTGGTAGAAGAAGGCGCGTAGCCCAGGGCGGGATAATTTGGCTGCAGTTTGTAGTTATGAGCACCCGTACTCCTCTTGGCCACTAGTGGCTAATCATAATAGTGATATAACTGTGTTATGTGGGCACCCATGCTCCTCTTTGCTGACTCATTAAGTTTCATGGGCCACCAATGATTCTATCATCGTACTATAACTAACCTGGCAGGGGCTGTGTGGCGGGAGGTGCATTGCCTAGGGCAGGGTTATTGGGCTGTGGCATGTAGCTGTGGGCACCCATGCTCCTCTTAGCTGTCCCGTTGAGAAGCCCATGGGCTGCTGGGGACGCCACCGGCTTATCAGTGTTCAAGGTTGGGTGAGGTTCTGAAATTAGTTTTCATTTTGGTTATGAATGACGATTTGGTGTGGTTCGAAATCGAAGAACTTATCCATACGGGGATACTTTCAGGACCATGTAAGGTGTTCGACTTAAAACAATTAATTTTATAATAATTAATTGATATTACATAATTACGTATTTTAAAATACATGAGTGTGATAACATTGGCAATCACCAATTAAGTAGGTACTTACTGTTATTAATCAAAAATAGAGAAAGTTTTAATTTCAATCATTCATTAATTATCTAAATAATGTACCTATTTAACACATAATACAATAATTACAAATAATAACTTCCTGCTACCTAATTCAATCGAAGTTTATTCCATGTACCTTTTCGTTATTGAGTTTAAACAATAAATTATTTGTAATCATCGAATTGGCATCCAATGTTGTTAATTTTAAGACTTGTAAATGTTTTTGAGAAACGAAATGTCTCGATACTTAGCATTTTCACTCTTGTAACGAGCTAGTAATTTTAATGTTATAATGTCATTAACGGAGTTTTATTTATTGCATCGTCGTCCGTCACTAAATATAAATTTTCACGAATTATTAGTAAGCACGGAAATGTCCTACTATCGTTAAACGCGATAAAGTTACGAGTATGTAAGACATGAGAACAACAACATTTAACTATGTAGTTTGATTTGTGTTTAAATTATAATATACGAGTACGTTAGGTACATTTTCTTAAACTGATGAACCATTTTAGCGCCGCAGTAAGTTTCGGGCTTGATTTTAATGAGATACTACGAGTACAAGTGAGTTTTCTTTCTTTACCATTTGCAGTTAATTTTTGACTAGAATAAATACTCGTATGTATAACAATACTTAAGTAGGTACTGCTTTTTAAATTGATACAGAAACTTTAATGAGTTATACTCATAATGAAAAAAAAAAGAAACCAAAACCCAACTGCATAAAAATGAACTGAAAAGATAGAAACAAGACAAAGCGTTCACAAATGCAGTAGGAGGCATCAATGACTATTTTTTTTTGTTGGTAACACCAACCAAGTGTTTAGTCGGTTAAAAACATAGAAAAAATTACCAAAAACAAAGCGCAAATCGCAGTCATTTCCTTTCCATACTTCGATAGTCAATTGCTATTTAACAGCCTATGAATAAAAGAAATATAAACTTACCCGGTTTACTTTGACTGGGTTCCTGCAGGATAGTCACGTAGCTATCCGGGAAGATGCCAGTTTTGGTGCCGTTCCTGCCCTCCCACCAGTTCTGGTCGATTCGCCTCGTGAGGACCACCACCTCCCCCTTCTTCAGAGGCAGTTCAAGGTTGGTTTGCGCCGTGAAGTCGAATTTCGCGCGCGCTCTCCCTTCGATCACTGCCGGCTTTTTGGGAGAATGGGCCACTTCGCCTTTCATTATCTGAAGATGAAAGAAATAGTTTTTAAATAATAAATCATCGAACTCTACACGCTACTTTTTTCTAGCCTCTTTTTGTAAATTAAATACTGTTTCATTCGAATAACATAAAATTTAATTTTAAGGCAAATATGGTGGAGATCCACAAATCATGCTCTCCCATTATTTATCCCATTGCCGGTTGGTCTCTACTACTTTTGGCGAGACGTTGTGTCTTGTTCGATACTATCCTTACTAAACATTTTACGTAAATAAAATGTTGCAGAAATGCAACGGGTGTGATCATTGCTTGCTTTACATCACTATGATTTACCTACTTTTTGTCTTACGTGATAGCTCTATTAAAATACAAAACAAACAACATACCTCAACATAATTGTACGGGAACAGCCCTATTCTCCCATGGATCTCTCCCTCGTACCAGTTCGCGTCGATCTGTCTCCTGACGTGGATCAGGTCTCCTTTCCTGAAGCTGAGCTCCCTGGCCGTCTGCCCGTTGAAGGCATACAGCGCTCGAGCAACTACTCTCTCTGCCTCGTCATACCGGTTGAGGGGTAGGATGTTCTTTTGGGATGGCGTGAAGTTGTCCTGATGCCGCCTGTTCTGCATGTCTTGTAGTTCCTGTGACGTCATTATTGTTATGTTTTATAATTTTAAAATAATATTTTGTTATCTCGTGATATGGAAGCAAGTTATTATAATACATAGCTAGCTCAAAATTTAGAATTTGGAAAATCTGTAACGCAAACGATCCGGCACATTCCTGTAGAAATTAGTCGTTTAAAAGTTAGAATTCATTATTGGTTACGAATAAATTAATGATACATTTTTGAGTGATGGTTTGTCCGATGATTCAGAGCTAAATAAATGTTTGTTAATAGCATGAAGTTGTGATTGTAGAGTGTAATAAAATCAATATTAATCTTAATGATTACAATCACGCAACAAACACACGACTCTCAAAGATCACCTTCATTGATGCATCAAACGCTTCTATATCTGCGGGGTGTATTTCATTTTCCTGTAATTTTTAACAATGATCATGTAATTTGATATTTAATTTCCTTTGTTTTTAGACGCGAATTGGACAATTATACACACATATCGGCATTCGCACGCGTCAATTGAATGGTAAATACTTGTTGCATAAGAAAATAATGGTTACTTTCACATTCTATGTATCTATTCATTGATTATTCAATTGTAGTCTATGGTTTCGCTTCACGATATTCACGCACTAACACAATACTATCATGATCTTTCTCGCGCACGCGCGATCCGTTTGGTCCAACGTTCTGTTTTGTTATGCCTCACGCACATAGGACTATTGGACAACCATATCCACACTTCCCTCATTAGATCCGCAGCTTTACAGTCCAATATTTAAGGTCACATTTACAGTAACAGCAATCTGTGGCCACAGCAAAGGAAGTAAGCAATACGCTGGTCATTTTGCTAACGGACTTTTGTATTTGTTATTCACGATTCACGAGGTATGCGCGAGAGCAAGGTCGACAGTTTCCGCATTTTTAATCTCGCCCATAACGTGTTTCACAAGTTTTGACCATTGTATTTTAAAATGTTGAACATCATTCCAGTTTGGCGAATATTTTTAAAGATTTAATTTATTTAATCATGTTTTAATGCGCAATGTTGTTCGTCTGCAAAATGTCTTCATTCACAGCGTCACTGTTACGCTCTCCAATTTTAATTATATTTATGCTTCAGAAAACTTTAACACTTTTCCCTTTTAAATCTTATTTAAGTACTATCTCATAAACAACACTGGCAAAAAGACTCACTCAACTACAAGACATGTAACGACACTATGAAATTAAAACAGTAAAAGCGGTATAACTCGTATCTAGCGGATGAAAATATAAGTGTTAGAAATCGTTGCGGTTTGTGGAAGGGCCGGTAATCGCGACGTGTTTACCGACGGATAATCAGCAGGCAATTTCACCGCACACAGTGAAAACGTTGAAGAGAAAATGTCTATCTCCGTGGAAACATGTGGCACGTAAGTACGTATGTAAGTATGCAAACACGCGTCCGCTTGCAGTGCGCTACTGTGTCGCGGGCGTGACATTTAGATATCGCTCGTAGCTGAGCTAATTTACATAAATTTGTACATTAAGCTACGAAAAACCATTCAAATACAGCTCAAGGTTTTCGACAACATTAAAAGACAATCAATATGTAAACTACTAAGTATACATACAATGTTGTTTCGTTCGCATCACAACCGTCTTATACATGAATGGTAGCTCTAGCGACGAAAACACAAAATGTAAACGAACTGTAGTAAATACCGCGATGTTCGAATAACTTGCCGAAATAGCCAATTTGCTCACACACAATGTTACGTGACAGACTGTCGTGCGCGCGTTTTATGTAAATACTACCGGAGCGTTTGTGGAAACGAGAATGGAAATAAACTTAACCGATGTCGATGACGGGCAGAGAAACCGCAGCAAGATAGAGTTACTGTGACGTTTCTACACCAAACCTCAAGTTAAGAGCCATTTCACAAAAAAGTTCCGCGCGAATTTAGGTACAAACTGTCAACGCAACGTAAAAAGAGTAAAAAGAACGCCGAAATGGACAAAAAAATCTTGAGCCGTGATTAAGACTTGATATAAGTTATTAATATTAAGGTAGAATAAGTAAATATTAAAACTTGATAAATTAATTTAAAATTTTAATAGAGTTTATGTAATCTTTCAAAAATTTTTATATTTCGATTAATAATAATGAAACACGAATAGGTATAATATGTAAAATATATATTAAGTACAAAATAAAGACAGTCACATAGTGAAAAAAAAATGCCCTCTTACAGCTCTATCATCCGACCCTGGATATCATTTAGGGACGAAGTATTCGTCAAGGCGAATCACACAAGCCCAAACTGTTCTGTTGTGTCTGTGTTCAACTATCACTCGGGTCGGACGTTCCTATCGCAAAACCGTTGGTTCACTCAGTTCCGATACGACTCTAGTGCTGTGTGTAATTATTCTCGTGAATACACTGAGTTTATTAATTTCTACGAGTGGATTTCATTTTGCCTGAGACCTACGCCATGAACCCTGAACAAGAAGACCCTGTCGCCAGCGACAGCGACACTTATCCATCTCTAGCGTTTACCAGAATTGTGCGCATACTCTGGAGCATGCTACATACAACTGGCCGTCGGAGAAGCATAGATTTCCCTTAAGTCTACTCCCGCTACCATATGGCACTCCGCTAAAACTCGTGAGGGCGCCAACACTTGCTTTTGTATCGAAAATTAGTATGAGCAGCGCACGTGGTTGCCCGTTGTAGGCTCCACCACGCTATTTTAAACAGTGGCCCCTAAGCATGAGATGGGAAACTGCACTCTCTTGAATTCTCTTTAATTTGATGGTATTAGGGGAATCCTAGGAACGAATACAGACTTTACAATGGAATCTCCTCATCAATGTTGAGACATTGCGAGTTGCAATGTTACGTTTTCTTGCAATCTGACCTTGATTTTTCAAACACGTGTCAAAATAAAAAAATAATTTAAATCAAAAGCTCTAAGGAATATTTAATTGACATCAATTTCAAAGCAAGCACAGATCACAGAAACTTAAGGGAGATGTGACAAGAGCCGCCCCCTTGAGCCTTGAGCCGGTGTCGCAACAATATGCCCAAAAACAGAACATATTGCTTGTGAAAGCAATGATGACAGCAGCGACGTCATAATGTAAACAGTTTACATTGCTTGCATAGTACTAAAGATTATTCGAACGTTAAATACTAATACCAGAGTGTATAATGAACACATATTTTGATTTCTTTGTGTGTGTGAATTTCTACTGCGACACTGAGTTTCGAACTCAGCGCAATACTTAGCTAGCATCTCTCTCTATGGAAGCAAGTTATCTCCAAAATAACATTCTACACCTTTTTAACCTAGTCAGGTAATAATTTTATTAAAATACGAAGCACTTCATCTATTAATAGGATATAAAATATATTTTAGAAGTTAATAAATTAATTATGCATAAAATATAAATGTTACGGTAAATATGATAAATGTGAAAATTATGAATAATCGCCGGTTATTATGAATAATTACCTCATGATTTGGTAAATGTGATTAATATGAGATCATTTATGTGTGTATAAATCTGAAAAGGGCCACCCCCGCCGCTCCTTTCGGTTTTTTTTTCTCTAAGAGATAACTTGGTATTGTCATTCTCACTAAAATGTCTCTGGGGTGGTGGCGTAGTGAGGCGGGTCGTTACATTCCCTCTAATATGGTCGAGTGAAGCGATGGCTGGTTCACTCGTCATGTCTGTGAACAGGCGCTGCTTTCGGGGACTGGTCAATCCAAGTTATTCCAATTTATGTATGCGAGTCATTTCTACTAGTATTTAGGTATGTAATCTGTAAGTCTAGATATTAGCACGTCACTACCTTGTTTAATATACCACGAAATTTTGTATACCCATTATAAGATACACTATACAAGAATGCATGGTAAATTCAGTGAACTGCTCCTGAATCGGATGTACCTACTACTGCTATTTCTATTTATTTATATTAACCGGCAGACAGTGGTGACTGAGTTTGTTGCGGCGCTTCTTCTCAGCACTTGCCAAATGTTGGTCTCGAAGCGCTGGTAGGGCAAAAAGATTATGAGACATGTAGAGGCTCCTTAAGAGCAAAATGACGATTTGTAAGAACTATTTATTAGTCTAAACAAATAAAGAAATTTTGACTTTGACTTTGACCTTAACTTGTTTTTCACTTTAAATCAAAACAATGTTTTATAGGCATTATGGGAAAGTAACGTAACGCAAAAAACAGTCCAAACTCACTATGCCAAATTATATTCATAAATGATATCAAAACGTTCAAAATGTGAGGCTGTACATGACCGCTGTACACGAGCCGGTGTTCTCTTTTATGATATTTGTTAGTATTAAGATTACATGATAAAATAATCACTGATAAATGTGATTAATTTATCACTTTTACCTCGCCTGTCGGTAATTATTCATAATAACCAGCGATTATTCATAATTTTCAATTTTACATACTTACATACTTTTTTTAATAATTTATTTATTAAAATAAATACATACATAATTAATATACATAGTTACACCCAGACCCGTCCAAAAAATTCATCCTTTCAGTTTCTGCTCGGCCGGGAATCGAACCCGGGAGCTCTCGGCATATTAGTCCGTTTCGAACCACTACACCAAACGGCCGACTTGAAACAGGGACCTCTCGGCATAGTATCAAATGTATTTGGTCGCCGTATAAATCACCGTTTCACGACACTAACGCACGTAAACGTCATGGCGGGAAAAGCGACACAGGTCCTGCCTTGACGGGCGCTCGCGCCATACTAATCGATATCGGCTTGCGTATTGTAATTTATACTGATATTCACATCAATATTTTGACAAAGTGGTTACTAATATTTAAACAATAACTGTAGAAATCTATTCTACAATGCATATTCTTTATTTTGGGACACTTTTATTGCAGTTATTGCTGTGTTTTTAAACCAAAAACCACGATCAAAATGTGACGTTAATCTTCAAATTTGCCAAATTATTTTTAAATTTTACTCAATAATGGTAGTGAAATTCAAGAATCCATTTCATTAATGGACAACAAGAATATATGTCCGATGATTACTATATATTTGTAAGCTTATTATATGAGCATAAATAATAGATACAGGACTTTGAAATTGAGTCTGCGGCAATTTTTCCGTAAAATGGTTGTGGGAGATGGGGCACTGAGAATTAAGCAAAAGAGTTTTAGTAAATCCGTTTCATTAATGGTCAACACTAAGGATTGACCTATCTTTCGCAGTTATTCAATAATATCTGGGTGTTGCTTAAGATAGTAATTCATGCTTCCAAAATCTTAGAAATTCGCACGAAAATGTAAAATGGCTCTTAAGCTCCTTAGACGAATTCGATACTTAGTAACGAGCGCCATGCGAAACTTCACCATTGCGTTACGATTATCCACAATTTTGTAATCGCGTTGCAGAATAATAACGTGCATTTTCAGACTATTGTAGCTAATGAAGCATGGCTATCGCAATTTAGTTCCCGATACAAATACAATAGATGGATCGTGGGATAATTATTGTTGTGATATCGACCAAACTGCAGTCGCGTGCGGCAACTGTTTACGAGTAAGTGGATTAAACAATCGTCGGTCGAGCCTTGACTGACGCGCTAATCGCATTCGATTCTGCGTTCGTGTTCCAATAAATCGATAGCTACTCACAATGTGTTACGAATCGATCTCCGCCGATTCGCTGGTTTAAGGAGAAAATTGTTCAGGCATGGAAAAGACGGTGGAAAGTGATTTCTCGTACTTTAATAATTATCGAGAGTTCTGTTTTTATCGTTTGATTCTCGATTTAATTGTTCGAGTGACTGTTAATGTAACACTGCGATTATGATCATGATCGATTGAGATAGATACTAAATATTGAAACATAAACGCACTCGGATATATTTCAATTATTTTTTTATCAAATGACATCTAGAGGTTGTATAAAATAATTCAATAACAAAATAATGATCGTGCTTGTTTTAACGAGGGTCAAAGTTTATCGTTGCAATATGATTGATTCCTTTGATGTTACCTACAAGGCTAATACAGTTCGAAGTAAACGGTATCTTAAAAACCTTAACGAATGGGTAACTTACGCCTTCAACACTAGTATTTATCATCAATTACAGAAAGCATAATTTTCGCGCGCCAATAGGATTAAAATGAGTTTCATATCTCTTACATGAGAACTTTATTCCCCATACAAATAAGACTCGTGTTTATAAGAAAAGGGAGGTACCTATATTTAGTTCTATACCAAAATTGACTGTGTGCTTTAGGAGTGAAAATCTGGCAGAATTATCCCCGTTGTAGTCACACTAGTCACATAAAAACAACTACCCATTTGTTTGTGTTATGTCAAAAAGGAAGCATATCCTTCTGCTAGGTTCCATTAGCTCTACAATTATACCAACATTGTTTGTGTGGATTAGGAGTAAACGTCAGACATAATTATTAGGGTGTCCCGTCGTTGTATGGGAAAAATTTTTTTTTGAGCTACGGTTACGCAAGAGGTGTCAAAAGTTGCGTTTTGAAAGATAGATTACGATTAGCATTAAATTTAATGAGATATCTGTCATCTTGAGGCCTCTACCTGTCCTTAAAAAAAATTTAAATTGCTATTTTAGGGGTTCCTAACAAAAACTATTTATAATACAAAAATAGCGTTTTTATGAAATTTGAGGGTACACAATGAGTCACATCAAGGTTTAAAATAGTTTAAAAACCAATAAATCCATAAATACTTTCAAAACAGAATTGGCTTTTTGACCAGAATTAGGCATTTACGCGCGCGATTTTAATGTATTCCTAATTAATCCATGGGTCAGCCAAGATATCGATTTAATTTGAGGATACTCAATTCCCTTCTCACAGCAGGTCAATAAATTTATTACGCTATTATAANGCTATCATGGCTTTGAGGCGATTTATAGCTAGAAGAGGTACCCCCTCGCTCATCTACTCCGATAATGGGACTGCTTTTGTTGGAACTAACAACAAGCTAACAGAAATATACGACTTCGCTGCTAGCAATAAAATCGTATGGAAGTTTATACCACCAATAACTCCATCGATGGGAGGAGCGTGGGAACGGCTGGTGAGGTCCGTCAAGACTGCGCTATCGGTAACCCTAAAAGAACGATCACCCCGCGAGGAGACGCTGCACACGCTTTTACTGGAAGCAGAAGCGTTGGTCAATTCGCGTCCACTTACTCATGTTCCCGTGGCGCCGCACGAAGATCAGGCCCTAACACCATTCCATTTCCTTATTGGAACAGCCACGAATGAACCAGTCCTGCGTCCTGTTTCAGACACAGACCTTTGGGGACGCACCCAGTGGAAGAAAGGGTTAAGGTTAGCTGACCATTTCTGGAAGCGATGGGTTGATGAGTACCTTCCAACACTCGTACCAAGGCGCAGCATACCCCCGCAGCCAAAGGTTCAGCTGAAAGTTGGCGACCTTGTCCTAATTGGTGATGGAGCTCTTCCTAGAGGAACCTGGCCCCGAGGCAGAGTGACCGCCGTGTGGCCTGGATCAAGGGGAGTCGTCAGATGCGCTGACGTTGCCACGAAAGGAGGCACATTACGTCGCCCCGTCAGGAAGCTGGTGCTGCTGCCGACTGTCGCCTGACTGCTTTATGGTTGCTTCACACCGCGGGGCGCCATGTTGGCGACAGACCTTTTTTATATGCGTTTTTTGTATTTTTTCTTTTGGAATGTTTTTTATATTTTGACGCTTTGTTTTTTTACTTTTTTACTTCAGTTGTTCATTAAACACCATTAGTCAAAGACGTGTTTCAATATAGTAAAAAGTGAACATCTCCAAATCAATTAAATATATTATATAGGTATAGTAACGGGCACACCCGGTGCCCAACAATTATTATAGGTAACCTGGTTTAAATAAATTAAATGAAAACATCAATCGAGCTAGTAGGATTTATTTTATTATTCATCAATAATCAAATTCAGAACTTGAATATTCAACTACAATGTCTGCTCATGAACGCATCAAACTCGGTACTTCTTTCACAATTCCATAAAATTCAACACTTAGAAAGTGACAAAAAACTTTAAAATAGGTAGTTGAAACAAACCACAGCTAATTTTCATAATGGACTGTACTATACGTACTATACGATAAACATGTCAGTCAATTTGACAACCTTTGTCGGAAACATTATTTAATGAAAATATTATCCGAACCCTTAGTATTTCTCTTCGACAAATACTTTAACACATTGTGAACCATTTTTCTTTCACGACGTCAAAAAGATTTTAGCAATTTAATTCACAAAATCAATTGCACACATTTAAAATGAAGTTTGTTTACACTTTGACAGCAATAGACTGACATGCAAGGTGACAAGTCAATGAAGTTTTCAGTTACTGTTGCCATTAAAAGAAATTAGTACCATTAGTTTTCCGCAACATGGCGAGGGTTTTTATGTTCCTGGTCGGGCTATAGTTTGGTTATACCTTTCTTTCTATCACATACTCGTAATATGAATCTAAATATTATGTATAATGTTATTGCTGGCCCGATTTAATTTGTTTTTTTTTTCATTCCATTTTCGAATTCTAGGAACAAAAGAAAACAGTTCAATTTAGGCAGTGTTCAGATAGTCGCAATCAAGGGCAACCTACCTTAAAACCGAATCGATTATCCGAACGCATACCGATTATTATTCCGTTATTATTAAATAATAGGGCCTTAATGAGGGTGAATGCGTGTGGTATACCGTTTTTTGCAAACGGGAAGCTTTTGAGGTCTTTATTATTATATTTTTATAACAACTCAATTAGGAAGGCGCCGCGCCGCCCAAGTCGATTGATTTAATATAATTTCCGTCCCTCAAAACGCGATTTCGATGGACTCAGGCAAAAAATCAACCACTTATAAGATAACTATGAAGCGTGCTTTAATCGTCTGTCGATAATGTTGTTATTGTAAAATAATAACAAGCAGAGGTTTTAAAACGGGACTATTTCCAAAAAACCAAAAATTGTCGACAATTACAGCAAAAATTTACCAAGTGTTATACCATTTTGGAATCCTTACTAAATGCGCCAAATTATGACGTCACTTGCCACACTCGCGTAGTACATTTTTTTTTCAGTACAGTCAGTTTAAACTAGGCAAAATTTTTATTTTGAATTTTTTTTTGGTAATAATGTATTTTTTTCATCCAAGCTGGAGCAGCTGGTTTTGTAATTTTGATAACAATTTAGAGAAGCATTATTCAGGGTTACATAACAAAAAAAAAAATTGGAAAAAGTGAAGATTTGTGGCAACACGAGCAAAAGGACCGTCACCTGGAGTAGAATTTTTTGTTTTTTTTTTTTTAAATGCCTATTATTTTTAAAATATGCCACATAGATTTTTTTTTATATTTTTCTGATAACCAGCACAACTTGCCTCAACACCCAGTTCCGGCTTGACGTTACATTACGGGACACCCTGTATATTCACTTTCAGGATCCCTGTTAAATCCGTTGTAGATTAACCTCTTACTAATAAAACTTACACGCTCGTTGAACAGTGTTTTAAAGTGACTTTTAGTATGGAAGGAAATGTCATGTTCAACAACTGTGTAACCTTTTATTAGTAAGGAGGTGACTTAAAAGATCAGCTTACCTGTAAGTACTTGTTCCTCCTCTGTTCCCTGTAGAGTTTCTTCATGTGTTCCGCCTGCTGGCGGGCCAGCTCCCGCTCCGGCACCAAGGGGAGCGGGTCGTGACGCACCGGGCATCGGTAGTGGATGTTCACGTCGCTTTCCAGGTAACGCCGGGGGGATTCTGGAGTTAATTAAATAAGTTGACTTAGAGGCGAGAACTAGGCCACTAGGTGGACCGATGATCTAATGAAAGTCGCGGTAAGTGCCTGGATGCGGGCGGCGCAGGACCGGTCTTTGTGAAAAACCTTGGGGGAGGCGTTTGTCCAGAAGTGGACGTTTTTCGGCTGAAACGACGACGGCGTAGGCGAGAACAGCCCAACGGTTTCGGTGATTAGCGGGGTTGATGTCATAACATACTCCGAAAAGGGATCAACACCTTATCACTTTTCGCGAGCTAACCGCACGGCGAGGCGAGGCGTGTACGTACGGTGCGGATAAATGTGCGTTTCAGTATGGAGTTTCATACAAAGAATACTGATCGGTGACCGCCTCGAGTTGATACCGTTACGATCCCTTTCCGGGCTAATAAGTGTTTCGATTCTGTGGATTGCAGAAAAATTGTGGGGAACCTAACACCTGACAAGAACGTAATTTAGTTTAGTTAGTTTAGGGACAATAGTTTCGGTTTCGGCGACAGAGTACCGATTGGGGTTAATATGTAGTTGAGTAGTTACGATAAAGAATTAATGTTGAGTAAACACTAACAAGTCTTGAACTTATCTTAAACACTGTAAAAATATACACGATTCACCTACATTCTCACAATATGCAGGCAGGTAGGTATCGATAATGTGAGAGTGTACGAGAACAGTATTTTTTCCCAACAAAATAATATTACATCATATAGGTAAATTAGAGCAGATAGTTTATTACGGCATCATAAAGTTACGAATATATTACACAAAGTCATGTTAATACTATTAAGCGTTATGTAGGCACGCTTAGACACGTTTATCTATGTTAAACTCTTCCGGAGTACACAATTACCATATCAGTCTACAATTAAATGTGTATCTCAGCACTTTTCCATACACGTAATGTACATAATACGCTAATTGCTTTCAAACTTTCACGGCGTATTAAGTATTTAATTACGTGTTTCGTATTAGGCGAGAATACAGTTTTGTACATTTAGAGAGGCGAAAGTGGTAGGTACGGCGGAGTAAACGATGGCACTCTCGATGGAAAATGTATCTACTGTTAAGGCGTCATCAGATTAGATCGAACGATCGTGATAAGATCACTGAGCAACTTGTTCGCCATTAGAGAAAACATCTGTCGCTCAAGCTTCAGCTGAGGATAAAATAACGTTGCTTAGAATAAGCTGCTTTGAGTGGAACATGTCTTATCAGCCAATCAGAGGTTTATCATTTTGCTAATGTTGTTAATATTTGTCGTTGAGTTAATCGATGTCTCTATTAATGTTTATCCAGCATACTAAAAGTTTGGTAATACATTTCTTGAAAATTTTTCTTAATTGTTATATTTTTCATAATACTCGTACATAGCACTTTCCAAATGAGTCAAAAATACGCTTCGCCCGGTAAGAATACAAACAGAAAGTTTCAAAAATAAAATCGGTCCACAGGTAGCAAAACAAACCTCAATTGATAAAGTGATCAATTACGTTATGATAACAAATAAATATTCATATCAACGCAAAACAGTCGCAAATGTAAACGTAATCGAAAAATAGAGCGCTGAACTCTTAAATCAGTCAGTTATAGTTCGATTGACTACCTATCAAAGCTCGTTACGATCAGATAAATCTGTCCGCACCTTTACCTCATGGGATGCGGTAACAGTGGCCATCGGCAATATTCGATTATGTGATGGGTCGTAACTTCGTCTCGGCGCAACCGGTCCGCGCATTATTTGCCGGAAGTGTTACGTGTGCCATAAGAGTTTGTTAAGCGTTTATTTGGATTTGATGCGCTTTAGGAAGTTGGTTAAACGTGCGTCTGCCCATTTCAATAGTTAATTTCTTCTGATTATTTCCTTCCGGACTACGGCAGTTCAACTTTTCCCCGAGACTAAATTATGCCCAGTTTTTTTTATCTGCAGATAACTCTATATTTATTGATTATTTATAATAAATATATTTTCAGTTGGCCTTAGTGTTTGCTGATATTTAATCATCAGTAACAAAATGAGTAAAGTCAATTAAGAATCAAGAGCTGCTCCATAACCTTCACTGTGAGTTTTTACTGGCGGTTAAGCAGCAGATTAATAAAAACATTTGACGATGTTTACACAATCATTGAATTCTTTATCGGTTCATTAATTTTAAAACAATTGAAAATCAATGTTTAGTAAATTGTAAGAATTTCAATTAGTGAGTGAGTGTGTACTATCTCTAGCGTCTACTCGTAACTTGTAAAAGTAGATACGTACTTGTGGTAATAAGTAGGTAGGTTGATGAAATCGAAAGCCCTTCGTTATGAGCGGTCGCGCCTCTCGTCACAGACAACTTTCTCGAGGTACTTATTCCAGGCACGTGCTTACAACACATGGTTATTTCTTACTTAAGTAACGCTACACGTATCGCCGTGGGTATAGGCCAGGGATGGCAAACCTTTATGTCTCAACGTGCCACTTTTCCGAAAAAAATGTTTGATGTAGTCATAGACGTGCCATCAAATAACACCTAATGCTATCAATGAGGGGTATAGATAGTACAAATAAAATTTTGTGATTGGTGGCGTGCCCTAAATATTGTGGCGCGTGCCATTGGTTCGCCATCCCTGGCACAGGCCATCAAATCGATGGCGTGGGTGAGGTACTTGAGATTAGGTTCCGGGATAAGATGCGCGCCGTGATAAAATCTTATCGATGATTTTAGACGACAAACGTATGGTAACATATCGCACCTTCGGTAGAACAAGGGCACAATTGCACTTTTTGCAATTTTACAGGAGAGCTTTAATCGTAAAGTGGTCCTTACAGGAATATTATCAGAGCTAGACCATATTAAATCCAATAAAAATCTTAAAATAGCTCTCCTGTAAAATTGCAAAAAGTGCAATTGTGCCCTTGTTCTACCGAAGGTGCGATATACAGGATGGATGAAATCTTAAATTATTATAATTATTTACAGAAAATTGTATGGTATGGCGGTAAATTTTTGAAAAATTTTCGAAAATCTTTGAATGCAGTTCTATTTCTTTTCAAAAATAAAGGAATGTTTTCTTTGAGTAAAATTTTCTATCTACAGTATTAAGAGTACTTTCCCTTGCATTACAAAATTCCACCCTGTATAAAAATCGATAAAATGGCGCGATAAAGGCTTATCGCGCGCGCATCTAGGCCTACAGGCATTGGTTATACAGGGTGTTTCTTTGATGAGTCAAGGCACGAGGTAATTTGTTGGGAACCTAAGTTTGTATCGATTCGATCATTGATTAAGCCCCCATTGTTTTTAATCATTTAACTCCAAAAATACGAAAATCATTACAAACATGAGGGTTTCATCTTATCAGCTTGACAACTTAAAATATGGTTAGGGGTATTTGTACTATAACTGTTAATATTTGTTAGGCTTTCGACTCGATTATCAAAAAAATGTAAATTGGATTTACAACATGTCTTATTTATTGCATATTTTCTATCGATGTAGTTATGTAGTCAATATTTTTTATCAAGAAAATGCAATTTTCTTTTCAAATAAATCTATGCGACGTGTTTGTGGTAAGGAAATGAATCGCAATTTAGTTGATTTTAAATTGAAATGCACATTATAGATAATCTCATTGATTAAATGTAATTGACGTTGCATTGCTGATATTAAGATATAAAAAGTTGGTTGTCGCAGACATTGTTAAAGTCAATACGGTGGTTAATTTGTGTACAGTCACGATCAGAATAATTATTTCTCGTGAGTAGGAATTCTTCGATTTCGATTCAATAAAGTTTTGCAGCTAAAAATTAGGGACTGAAACGGTCACAAAAATCGAGTCTTTCTTAACGATCATCCAATTCTCGATTAATATGACTGACCGGTCGTTTATGGTTGTTAAATACAGATCGACGTCTTTCCTACAGAGACGGGTGTAGTATTTTCGAGTATTTTAGACATTTTACGCAACTTCCGTCACAGTTTACTGTATCTTTTTTTAATCAAAAATCTAAACCTCTGTTTATGGTTTCTTGGTCACGTAGACTGAATAAAAAGTTAGCGAGCGGGACACTTTCGCTACTTAGTTCAATTCATGTAACTGTGACAGTGACCGTTTTATTGTTTCACAAAAACATCTCATTTGAAACTAAGAATTTCGTTTCTACGCTGAGATTTTATTACTTTATAATAACCATTACAATCTTTGTAAGCTATTTTCTAGCTGTTGATTACCACTCGCTAATGAAACATGCTTGTTATTAACACTTAAATTTTTATATTGTGACAAGATCAATTAAACAATAAATAATATATTGTACTACATATTATATTTCAGTCACAGAAAAATAATTTCTTCGGATAGAATTAGAATGCGGTAAGGAATCTGTGTTTCGCCACAATTTAAGCAAGATGAAGGTATTCATTACGACACGACCTTCCCATTTCATAATTCTCCAGTCAGCCATGGCATGGCCAATGTTGGCAAGATCAGATTTCTTTTTTTTTTGTAACTTAATCTAATTAGAATGGCTTATTTCTAATTAGTTTCTGACGATTCAGAATCGAAAGGTCAACACTGACAAATGATAATTTTGAATTCATAATAGAAGTGGTCGCTAAAGGTAAGTAATAATCACATACCTAAATGAAAGATTCACATAATGAAAATATCTTCTAATCTGTTCCTTTATTTACGAACAATTTGTACGAATGGTTAAATAAATGGACTGTACCTATTTCGTATTTACCTATGAACAGGAATTTATTAAGAGTATTTTATAAAGTTCCGGACTGACATATTTTAACTTGGTTATCTGATAATTTTACTGGCTCATTAATTGATAACTTATGATGTATCCCGAGAGTTAACTTTCAGGATACTGACGAGACAAAATTATTTTTCAATTTGATGAATTGGGTTCCGTATGGGACTGATTAGACTTAAATGTCCTGAGATGGTATTAAATTGCAACTGTGTGAAGTGAAGGCTGGTTTGGCAGGCGAAATTAAACAAAATTATTTTAATTTTTTTATCATAATAATATGTAGAACGGTATAAGTATGGAAGTTTATAAAAGAACATAACATTTAAATAAATAAACCAACCGTGAACAGTCATCCTTTTAATCTGCTTCAGGATTCCCATCTTAACTGTCACTCACACACAACACTGACACCTGTCAAATCGCGCGGCAGAATCGTCGCGAGCGCAAGCGCGGGCCCGCTGACAGCTACAACCGCAATGCACTTGCAACTTTCGTCTACCATAATGACTCCATCTCCCGCCTAAACTGAGGCCCTACTCCGCAATAGAAATCGACACACTCTACTACAACTATCCCTTTCACTCACGCTGGGATGCTGCCACGAGTAACAGCGACAGGTAAGTAAAGCCGATTGATCGAAATGGTTGAAACAGAGTAGATCCTCAATGCGTACTTTTGCGTGCGCGTGAGTTTATCTCAGACGTTTTTTGATAACGTTGCGTAGCTTTGCTGACTAATGAAGTTATGATTTCAAAACAATGACTGCATTCCATTCGGTAATAGTCTAAATATATCGATGGAATGTCTATTGTAATTTCGGATACGACGTCTATGATTTATGAATAATTTAGAATAATGTTTATAGCACGTTAACGATGCGGCTAATGCGGAAGCAGTAAAGTTTGTCATCGCATAAACTAAAATAAGTTTATTAATGATTAAACAACAAACGACATTTTTTAAAGGTATCGATCGTACAGAAAGTTAATTTAATAAGCTTATAAATAATATGACTTAAGACTTTAAACACTGGTAGGGTAATAATTTTACACTGCCAAATATGTAATTAGATTCCACAATAAGAGTTATTATTATCTTGTTTTGTAATATATTTATTAACAACTTACTGTACGGAAGTGGGGCATAAACATCTGGGTATATGTTAGTTCTGTTCGCCCAATCAGTAAAGTCATGGATCGTGTGCCGTTTTTCTTCGTTTTTCTCATCAGAAGATCTCTCCCGAAGTTTAACTTCATTTACATTGTGATCAGTTTCGTGTTCATCAATTAGATTCAAATTAGCAAGAGATACGTGCCTGTTTTCTTCTACTATTGATGTTGCAGTGTCAGACTCCAATCTCTGAGGGTTTTCAAGCAATAGCAACGAATTTATCTTATAATCATCGGTCAATGCATCAGTATTAGCTACCTCTATGTCAGGAACCTTTTCTGTAGAGTCAACAGAAGGATTGGCATTCAGATTTTCTGATAACGGCACATGCTTTTCAATTGACTCATTACTCCTTACACTGTCTGAATCACATTTAGATATAGACTCGTTAGGACTATTCTCTTTTGTGAAGTAACCCTTATCATTTCCGTAATCTTCAGATTGGTCGTAAAGTAGATTTTTCTTCACATACTTATTCATTGCTCTTAACGATTTAGACAAAGATCCTGAGCCAGGAACGTCACTGAAGAACCCATCGTCTTCGTAGATCGTGTTATCGTTATCTAAAACGCAGCTCTTCCGAATTATTGTCAGCACACCGGTATGCGCTTGATCGCCTTCCATCATTTTCACTTTGAACTACTTTTTGATTACATCACTATAGCACCGCACTCGTCAGGTGTAGGATTTGCACCAAGTAAAACTGACGGTTGTATAGATAAGCCACACTTTATCTGTTTACTGAACGACCGATGATAATACAGCACTTGTCGATAATATTAATAATGGAATATTCTATAAAGACAACGAACTTCACAAAGTATCACAACAACACAATGCGCGGGTAAAGTCGACGCGAACTATTTACGCAAAAAAAACCGAACCGACAACTTTTGGCGAGCCAATCGCGGCGAATGACGCAAATCTTATGCTTGGAGATATAAACAATTAGATATCAGTGCTCATTTTGTAATATTTTGGAATTTATAAATGCAGCATTCGTTATTAATTTTAATGATAATACCTATCTGGTATCATAAAATACATATTTTTATTTCTCGCAAACACAAGACAAGACAACTCAAGCCGCCAGCGTCGGTCAGAAGAATAAATTAAGGTGGTCGATTATTTTGAACAAAGGCCATTGTTTCTTTTTTATTCGCATAGATAATACAGACGTAATTGCAACGTGTGGTAGCTCTCACGTTAGCCAAATGACTTACGGAAGGAAAGCTTGGTAATAGTAAATTACCTAATGTATTAATTTAATATAATTAAAAAAAAACAATAATAATGTTAATGTTTACATGATGTTGTGTTATGTATAATAAATAAATAAATAATAGAAAAAACACGAGTAGTTGAGTCCGTAATGTGCGTACATATTTTTTGTGTACATGTAATGCCTACTGTGACTTATGAATGTGGGTGGTCGCTAAAGTACCTAAATACACAGAGGGTCATCAAAAAAGTAGGTCAAGACATTATCTCCGTTCTGTATTCTTCTTATTCTTATTATGAGTGACATACTTTAGTGTGTGTACCTCTATCGAAATATGGTGATATAGATTTGGTTCTAATAATATAAATTATACTTGCCTGTATCCGAATAGCTCCCGTGTGGCGTTCTCCTTGGAGGTTCTGGCGCCGAGTCCGTCTCTATTAGAGTACAACAAATTCATTGCGATAAAGATTCTATAAAACACCTGCATGTAGTCTAAGTCAAAGGAATATTGACATCGTTATGCATCAGTTTATTTTAGTAAGAGACTTCACGGTTTTGTTAGATTTATATTGACAACATAAAACATCCAACGTCGAAGGTATAAAGTTTGGGTAACGAGAAATCACGCAACACAGACACGCAGGAAGCCACGGCGAACATAACGAGCATCAATAAAACTTTGACAAGGAAAGCACGTCTTTGTACAAGTTACTCCAAAATAAATCAGGTTATGAAAGAAAAGTATGAACAGAAATTAACCTTGAAATGTGACAGTATGTCGTGACGGCGTGACGTAGGGCGCGAGGCGGTAGGGCCACGAGGCGGGCGGCGGCCGCGGCGGCGCCCGCGGGGGCTCGTAGCGGCTGGCCGGCCGGTGAACCGAAGGGTCGAAGTCTTGCTTGGCAAACAGATCACTTTTCAAAATAGAACTCAATTTCACCGACTCTTTAGGCACAGGCCGCTTAACCTCCCTTTTGACGGGCGACAATCGACCGCGCACCAATGCACTGGGATCTTCAATCGACCTGTTGTTATCGCTTCTCCTAGGAAACCTATGGGCCACCCAAGGACCCGCTAAATATGGTGCGATATCTCGAAGCTCACTCATGTCAGGGGCAGATGCGTATATCTGACCGAGCAACGACATGGCTTCAAATCGGCGCCGAATGCGATCGACTTCCCCAGCTCTACATTCCGATGCTTCCTCCGCGGACCTGGATCTGGGTGTTGTGCGTCTACGAAGAGCGGCCAGTTTCGATATGATGTCGATATGGGGCATGTAACGATTGGTGGGACGTAACGGCACCCTTGCCACAGGAAGCATGTTTCTCTCCCGGCGGTTGGAAAATTTTTCGAAGGAGGACCAATTTTTTTGTAGAACATTTCGAGCGATTTCAGGATCGCTGCGGTGCCGGCGTAGCACAGCGCCAGCGGCAGACGGTGAGTCGAAGCGTCGCGCGAGGCGGCGCACTTCTCCCGCTCGCGCCAGGTTGAGGTAAGCGCGCCAGTAACGCTCCGGGTCGGGCGATGGGCTTCGACTGCGCCACACTGTTTCTTCGCTAGAACACCGTAGCGTGTCAGGCGTACGCCGGTCCGTACCAATAACTTGTACTTCAGAATGCGGCGACGGTGATCTTGAATAAATTTCAGGATTGGATGGCAACGATAAAAATTTATTCTTTTCACTTTCACCGAACAGTTCTTTAAAATTTGTGCACGATTGTGATTGAATCATTACATTTTTTTGAGGTTCCTTCTCTTTTTTTTCAATGGATTCACACGAGCTGATGTTTATTTTATCCTGGTTTAGTTTTTCATCTGAATTCTCCCTGGCGTGATGTATGATGCTAGGTAGTTCCGTGGCATTTTTAACTGATTCGAAATACTCGACTTTTCTTTGAACTTCCTTGCTGGGACCGCGATAAATAACAGTCTTATTAGAGACGTCTGAGCTAGCAGTGTCAGTTTCACTTGCTGACGACACGTATTGATAATCTTGCTTGTCACTTGGAAAAATCATATGTCTCTTTTTCTCTTTACTTGTATTAGACAAATTTGGGTTGTTTTCTGAGCTTACACTCTCTGCAAGTGCTTTTTCGTTTTTTGATGGTAATACTTCTTCACGTTTATCTTTCTCCTCCTTATCATTGGCAGTTTTATTTAACTCAGTGGCTTTTAATTCGTCTTTTAAAGAAAGCGGTGCAGAATTATCAAATTTGCTTATTCTGTCCAAGATTTCTTTGCTGAGTGTTTGTGAAATTTTCCTTTTTTCATTTTCACTAAGAGTCATTTGAATTTTATTTACATTATTTTTCAGCTCTTTAACTGAAGTAATAGGGCAAGAAATGGCAGCAATTGACTCTGATTTACTTAATCTTGTCTTTGGATCATCTTCAGGAACATATTGCGGGGTGACAAGTGAGTTACATCTCACATGTAACGAAGAAGAAGAATTTTCCAAATCTTTTGAATCTTTTACATCAATTGCATATTTGTCAAGTTCTTTGTTTGATTTAGATTCCAACTCTTTGCTGTAAATAGCGTTAAGTTGATTTTTCAGTGCGTTTACTTGTTCCATAGATAAACTACTCCAAAGACGATTACCAAGTCCAATCTTTTTACGAAGCTCACTCAAAGAAGTTTCTGGAGTTAAAGAAACTGTTGGTTTAATATTTACACGTTGATCACTTTTATCACGAACGTTTTTCTTATTTATTTTAAACGCTGTCTCAGCTACGCTGGTGCCACGCCAAAGTGGTTTATACGTATCTTTTGAAGGAGTTTGGTCTAATTCATTGGAATCAAAATATGAAACTTGTTGGAAGTGATCTTTGAGATCTTCAACAGATTTTTCTTTAATTCTGAGCCCCCATTCTCTATCATGATTCCACCTGAAGTCTTTTAAATCTCTTGGATAAAATAAGACGTCGTTTTCGTTTTGTGCTATCTTAAGTTTCAGGTATAAATTATTTAATTCTTCTTCAGCCCTTTCAATCGCTCTTATTTTCTTCCAACGATCGAAATCAATAATTTCTTCGTCCTTTCTTCTATGTCGCAGATCAGAATTTGATGTAGTTTTTTCTAATTCGGCTACTCTTTCTAGGTATGTGTAGTATCTGTTTAGTTCACGGAATCGTTCCGACCGGATTCTTGTGTTTTGCATATCAAGTACATATTCTTCGTATTCGGGATCGTGGGCATTTAAATTTGAATCACTTTTGGTTTTGAAGGGAACATTTCGTTCCACTATTTTCTTGTCAGCATCTCCTGCGCTTCGGGTTCTCAGTACACTTTTTAGAGCACTTGTGCTGTCTCCAATTTGCTTTGTGTTTTGCAATCTTGCATTATGTATTCGACGATATGATGGGGACCTGATTGTGACAGGAGATGTAGACTGACTTCTGCTTTGGCTTGTAGTTTTTTGTTTCCTAGTCACTTTTGGCGACACGGGTCTTGATGTTTGAGAGAAAAATATTGTGGAAGGATACTTTTCACGATCCTCTTCAAGTTCTAAGGTTACTGATTTAGTAAGACGTTTTGTTACTATGGGTGATACTGGTCGTGTGGTTTCAGTAAATACGATTCTTGTTGGAGACTGTGATTGACTTTGAACTTGAGGCGAATGCCTTACAATTTTCGGAACAACTTTAGGTGATATAGATCTTGACGTCTGGGAAAAGTACAACCGCGATGGCGATTCTGAAGTACGAACTGGAGATTCTTGAGGTTTTTCTTTTTTGTAGAAAACTATAGTCGGTGATATGGGACGAGAAGTTTGAGAAAAAAAAATTTTGTTTATTGGTGGTTCGCTTCTACTTCTAGTAGTCGCCAATGATGATGTCGATCCAAATTCATCACATTTAGACAAGCTATCAAACTTACGAATTTCATTGTGCATTCTACCTGGCCAAGATATGGAACGTGGACTTTGCACTCGTACTGGACTCGAATGTCTATCCCACATTTTAAATCTGGACAGTGAAACTGGTTTTCGATGAATCAAATAAGTGTTCAAAGATTTCGCCTCCCTGTAATCTTGCGGGAATGATTGGAACATTTTAGCTTTCTGCAAAACTGACGTGTTTGGTTCCAAGACGGGATAAGTTGCAGTTGGGATAACAGATCCACCAAGGAAAAGATGTTGGAAAAAGGAATCTGATATAACAGCATCTCTTGTTTCTTTGATGTCGTTAGCGTAAGAGAACCTTTTATCAATATTTTCAAATGAACCAAAGTTCAAAGCTTCACTTGATACGTTGTCACCAAACTGACTTTCTGTTTCCGAGCCCGCTGGCGACTTTATTGTAGCCTTTTTAACCGATTTAGCCGTTACTTCTTTTTTAATATTTTTAGTTTCTTTTGCTTTTTTACTACAAGTTTCATGACACGGAACACTTCGAGGACGAAGGACAACACTATCTAAAGATTTTTTCTTCTTTAAATTAGTAACAACCGCCGTTTTTATTTGATTTTGTCTTTTTATAGGCGATGTTGAAATATTCATAGATGACTTCGAGATACTGGAAGTGTTTTGGAGTGGATTACTTTTCAAAACTTTTGTTTCTTGCTTTGTTGCCAGACATGGGTTGGATTTTGCGTGTATATTCGAAATCTTCAATTTTTGGACTTTCTCGGCGGTACGAACCATGTCTCGACTCTTGTGAGTAACACTTGGCCCTGGTGACTTTATTATAGTTGTTGCTGCTTTTGGAACTTTGGGGGAAACCACAGTGTTTGTCCGAGTACTAGATTTTGATTTAATTTTAGACATATCGATTCTTTCGTTACGTTTTTCTGAACTCCACAGTTTGTCTAATGACGTAACTTTATCTAAGATACTAGTT